CGACGCGGCGGTTGACAGTATGTCGGTCGGGAATCCGCCTACGCATTTATTGCTGTTTTTTTATTTCATGCAAAAAAAAAAATCCTCTGAAATAGTTTCAAAGTATGGATTGGACTTGCTTTATAGCTTTTGGTGTAGTAAATGATGAAATTTGCTATATAGACAGTTGTCTCTTATGTTTAGACTTTTTCTGCGTAAACCTTGTAGATGTGTTTTAAAAACATGGGCTCATTTTTTCAAAAGCTTGAAGTCTTAATATACTTAAAATAAAATCGGTTATATTGCTCAGTCAGAGGTTTAGCACATTTTCCGCACGTGATCACGACCAGGGTTGTATACCAATCAAGTCGATTGAATTGATTGATTTGTTTCAACGCATATTTTGAGTTGATTGGATTGAGTCGATTGACTTTTCTAGATGACTGGTTGACTGACTCGTTTGACTTTAGCGACTGGTTGACTGATTTGATTCCCGAAAATTAGAGTGACTCGTATGATTGAGTCGATTGAATGGAAAGTTCAAATAAGTTTTAGTTGATGAAAAATAATGACACCACTGATGACATCAAAGATCACAAAACTACACTGAAAACTGCTTGTCAATTGTCATCACAACTGCAATATGGGGTAGATGGCCAAATAAAGAACAGGGCCTAAACATGAACAGCCAACTTTGACTTTCAACTGCAATAACTCATAACTGCTCCAATCCTGGTGATAGAATCTGGCGATGCACCTACCTACCTTTCTGCACTCAGCAGGAAACGTTTTTTTTTTTTTAAATCCAGATGATAAAGTGCAAGGCCCTATATACTAATAAAGTGTGATTAATTAATAATTCACATCTCCACATCTCCTCAGAAACAACCCACCGAACTCTATAAATATCTGAAACCCACTGAACTCTATAAAGAAACCCCTACAAAAATAACTGAAACAAAAGCGCCGTTTTCGTCTCGCTAATTACGTTTACGTATGCCAATTAATAGCTAATTTGCTGCATTGTTTAAATTGCAGCAGAACGTTTGTTGATCCTTTTCTCCTGAGAGCCTAAGCATAACATATTTAATATATTTCATTTTTCTTAAAATATTTTACCGAATATTATTAAGTGGTTTTATTTCAAATGAAATAATAATAAAACGAAATTGGTGTTGTACAACCGATTTATTTTATGATGATCTACCATAGTACATGATAATCAATGACGTCATCTTACAAAAAAATCAAAACACGTAGAATAAGGATTTATAAAAGCTTAGCATACTTATTGGCAAAACGTTTTCTTTTATTCACAGTCGTTGGACGCTTGAGCCAAGCTGCTGCGCGCCCTAACTCTTCAACAACAACATTATTCACAGTCGCACCGTGCCGTTTTCGCGTTTTAATTTTCTTTGTTCCTCTACTTCCTTTGTCCTTATCTTATCCTGTGGTTCCAGAGTCCCTGTCCTCTCCATTTCCTTTTAAATATATTTTTAATCCTCATCCTTATCCCCCAGTCCTAACAGTTTCAAATTGTATTGCAATTAAATGTTTTGAATTCTTCACATAGGTACCTAACATTGACATGCCACGTCCAGAGTCGTGGACCGCTAAATACTTCAAATCTCTTCCTTCCCAATCTGACAACATCCCACGCCTCAAATGCACATTGTGTGGAAAGATTTTTCAGGCTGCCCGTCAGTCTCTGTCTAACTGAAACCGTCACATGCAGGTAAGATATTTATTTCTATTTCCCTATGGTTAATATGTTATTGATGCATATTATCCATTAAAATAGACGTGGTGTAGGGTAAATTGTCCAAATCACGAACACTGCCAAAATCCGAGCAGCCAACTTACAACCGGAATATCTGATATTTAGTGTAAATGGAGTTGGAATATGGCCAAAATTAAATTGACAACCTTTAGGTGAAAGGTGGTGATTTGGGTTAAGGGGCGAGTCAACTACTGGGTTATTTTGCAACCATTAAATGAAACTTCTGCTCCAATTCTACCCATTGAACCTCAATATCATGATCCACCTGTCCACCACTAGGTATCCATCCTTATGATATAGAAACTTTGAATGGCATGGCAATTTATAATTTTAAACGACAATATTTTTATGTTTCTTCTGTGGGTAGGTAGGAAGGTAGGTAGGTAGGTACACCAGACTGCTATGGACACTTTTCCAAGTTGGTGGGGCAAAAAACCTAATGTATGTGTTGGTTTGAGTCGTTTGATTAAGTTGATTGATTCCTTTCATTCTCGCGTTTGAGTCGATTGAATCAATTCCCGAAAGCTGCTCTGACTTGATTGATTTGATTGGTTTCCCAAATTTGTCGTGATTGAATTGATTGCTATTGATTGAGTCGTACACAACCCTGATCACGACACGATCACGAGCGGTGTAGTAACTGAGAAAAGTAGTTCAAAGGTCATCGACCCTCACTCCCGTCACCCTGATACATTGCAACTGAAGTCGTACGTATATAGAAACGCCATTCGTGATATGCGCGAAAAATTACGCGACATATGATGTTATAACGTATTATTTTTATCATACAGGTGACACCCTGGCCCTGCATAGGAACCTAACCATCATACTTCAGATTGCAAGTAATATGCCATTCAGATAAATTTAAATGTGAGTTATGACGTCAGAACTGGTTGTTAGCTTGCAATTGACTGGCATTAACATATGGAGTTTGATTGTTACTTTTTTTGCATGAAGATTAAATAGTGACAGTTCATGTCTATTTAAAACAAGTACGTACGAATGAGGTAGAGTATGCTTTCCTCATCTGCACAATGATGTATTTAAAGGAAGCTGTCAGTTTTACGATCGTAGAGGGTGCATTAGCCTAGATGCATGCATTGATGTGGCCCTCAGGTCTCAACTATTGCGAACATTTTTTTTTTTGCCAGAACATTCCGATACGCTGATACGTCCCGACTGCGCACACATACCACTTCTCCGTGAAGATTGTGGGCGATAACGCCATTGCCTTATCGGGCAGTCCGTTGCCGCGTGTGTTGAACTATTCATTCGTCGTTATCCGTTGCCAGTTTGGTGACCAGTCTTGGCACAGTGTTGCCACTGAGAGCATAAGGGAAGTAAGCCCCCCGTTCCCGGCTCACGCGACCCGACTCGATTTCTCTGTCTCGCCGCTGAAGCTGTTGGTATGCACGATGCAGGGACGGACCACTGCACGTTGCACAGTGGTCCGGTTCCGGTCGCCGCTCCGGCCTATTGTCCGTGTTATCGGGGAGGGCTCTGTGAGCCTCGGCCGACGGAACTGGAAGCGGTGGCAACACCCGAGCCGACTGTCCGGGCCGAGTCCCGCCTGAAACCCGACCTTGGCGGCCCGGCGGCCCTGACCGAGCCGGACAAGGAGCCCCGTCAGCTGGCCGCGTCTCGACCGGCCCGGCCCGGCCTGACCTTCGGGCGAACCCGGCGGCGGTGGGGGCCCGTGCCGCTTTCTGGGTCACCTTGACGCCGTCTGACCGCCGGCAGCAAGCCTTTGAGCCGGTGACCGTGAGGATAGGAGAGGGAAGGAGTTGATACCGCTAATGGTCATACAACGGCTGATCAGTTGGCTTTAGACGATCAGTTAGATTTAGAATAGTGGGTCTCTTGTTATAGGCTAACATAACCCACCGCAGCTTGGCTTAGCGATGATACGGCTCGTTATCGCGACGTAAGACTATTCGCTATTCTCTATGAGTATGTATACTAAAATATTTTGCCACAAAAAACTTTTTTGTTTGGGAGAACACAGAGCAGTGTGACAATCGTAAGGAATACGTCGAAGAACCCTTACGTCAGAGGCATGGATCTTTTCTCAGCGAGCTTATCATTGATTCAAAACTTAAATCCCGAAATATCTTTGTGCTGTGCTGCTGTCTTTCGTCGTTAGTGTCCCGGGGTCTCTTTCCTTGAGCTGGTGCATTGCGATTCGACACAACCGGCTCACCCACTCCGATGTGACCGTTCAAACTCCGATCAGTGAGGCGGGTGAGGACACAGCTAACTTAAGTTCGGCAAACACCGGCGAGTGCCCACGCCACGTGCTGAGAATTGGGCTTTGACCTCCTCCCCCCCAGCTCTCCCCCGTTCTCTGTCTGGCCGTCTGCGGCCGGCTGCCGTGACGTATTTTTCCGCTGAACGGAGCGCGACGTTGTGCAATTCCCGGGCCCCTGTCGATGGCCGGCTGCGTCATGCTGACATTGCTGACGTCAGTGTGACGTAGCAGGGGAGGTGTGACGTCCGCAGATGGCTGGTTTTTCGTTTATTTTACAGAAATTCGTCGTTTCAATGGAAAAGTTGGTTTAGTGAGGTTGCCGAAAAGACCACTTGTCAGTTTCGGAGAGATTGGGAATTCTTATTCATGCAAACTTTTGTGATGACCCATCGTTAATATCAGGTAGCTATTATATCAGCGAAGCAGCGAATCAACACTGACTGAGTGAAGACATGCTGATGGTGACTTAGATCAGCATATACAAGCGGAAAATAACTGCTATCATTTTGCCGCACATTCCAGTCAGAGACGGACCCGGTGACCTTTCTAGTCATTCCCGCTCTGATCGATGTGAGGCGATTCTGGAGGCTTCGCGGCGGGGCGGCCGTCCGGCCACTCTCCGTTATTTATGTATGACGTGGTCCCTCCTGAGTGGTGACCACGCCAGACCACTGAGCTGCCGGACCTCGGAGTCGGCGCTGTTCAGCTCATGTGATATTCAGCTGTTTTGCCTGTGTTGGCGTGCCTGGTCCGGATCCTCGCTTGCAGCGGAATGTGGCGATGCGACGTTTCGCTGTGGGCCGGGCCATGTGGCGTGACATGTCCCGTTTGGTTGGGGTTATGGATTGCCAGAAAACACGACCACAGTGCTGAATGAGGGCGTTGCCCGGAATTAACCGCTGACGGTTGGACTCCTCTCTATGGTATGACGTCACCCCGGTTAGTGGCGACATGAGGGGTGACATATACTGACGTCATGCTCTTTCTTTGCAGCCGAGCGCGCCCTGGACACGATGAATTTCGACGTGGTGAAGGGTCGTCCGATCCGCATCATGTGGTCCCAGCGCGACCCGTCGCTGCGCCGCTCCGGCGTCGGCAACATCTTCATCAAGTCGCTGGACAAGTCGATCGACAACAAGGCCATGTACGACACGTTCTCGGCCTTCGGCAACATCATGAGCTGCCGCGTGGCCACCGACGAGAACGGCGTCTCCAAGGGCTACGGCTTCGTCCACTTCGAGACCGAGAAGGCCGCCACTGAGGCCATCGACAAGGTGACCACACTGCGGCCACGCGTTACCTACTATCGGATTTTCGATCTTTTCGCTGCGATCACAGTCTGATTGGAATGTTCACTGTACCTAACGGTATCTAAACAGACGGCCTTGCAATACCTAATGTGCCTCATATTGTCACACCACTCATAACTTGATATCGATGCAGCCTTATCTACGTGCTCTTCCCTGTACTTGGCGATTTACTAACCCCCTTTGCGCGTGCTTAGGTGAACGGTATGCTGCTGAACGGCAAGAAGGTGTTCGTCGGCCGCTTCATCCCGCGCAAGGAGCGTGAGAAGGAACTGGGTGAGAAGGCCCGCCGCTTCACCAACGTCTACGTCAAGAACTTCGGCACCGAGCTGGACGAGCAGAAGCTGAGGGAGATGTTCGAGAAGTTCGGCACCATCTCCAGCCTGAAGGTCGTCACCGGCGAGGACGGCACCTCCAAGGGTGAGTGCGCTGACGGATGTTCCAGTGGGCTTTGTTTGGGGAGGATCGCTAGTCCTGCTGGCGGAGGTGATGCTCTTTGTTCGTGTTTGTTTTTTGCGACTGTGTTTTATCGCGTGAATTTGGGTCAACTGGGGCGTTTTCGCAATGCGCGGCATCTTTTTCCTCGTTCAGTTATGGCTTTTGCCTCCCACGAGTCGGCTGTTTTTGTGGTGCTTACAAAAACAGAGTGACGTAAAAGTTTAATGAAAAACCCGCTGATTGCCCAAACACAGATTGCCACTATCTCTGGGGAGAAAAAAATCGCATGATAGCGTGCTTGTGTTGCCGGCCTGTGCTGGTTCAAATGAATTTTTGTTCACACTATTTCCGCCAAAACATTTGAACATAACATTTTTCAATACGTTTATCATAGGCGTTTATTTCACATTTGTGCTGATAACATTTGTCATAATTTAGAATAGTTGATGCTGCGACAAGGATAGTCTGCCAACCTGTTCTCGTTCGATGCCAGGTTTCGGCTTCGTCAGCTTCGAGGAGCCCGAATCTGCCGAGGCAGCTGTCAACGAGCTCAACAACAAGGAGCTGAACGGCAAGACGCTCTACGTCGGCCGCGCCCAGAAGAAGGCCGAGCGCCAGCAGGAGCTCAAGCGCAAGTTCGAGCAGATCAAGCTGGAGCGCATGAACCGCTACCAGGGCGTCAACCTGTACGTCAAGAACCTGGACGATGGGATTGACGACGAGCGTCTGCGCCGCGAGTTCGCCCAGTTTGGCACCATTACCAGCGCGCGCGTCATGATGGAGGACGGACGCAGCCGGGGCTTCGGCTTCGTCTGTTTCTCGTCGCCCGAGGAGGCCACCAAGGCCGTCACTGAGATGAACGGCCGCATCGTGTCGTCCAAGCCGCTGTACGTGGCGCTCGCCCAGCGCAAGGAGGACCGCAAGGCGCACCTGGCCAGTCAGTACATGCAGCGCATGACGGGCATGCGGATGCCGGGCGTGAGCCCCATGTTCCAGGCGGGCGCCGGCGGCTACTTCGTGCCGACGATGCCGCAGGCGGCGCAGCGGTTCTACCCGCCGGCGCAGATGGCGCACCAGATGCGGCCCGGGCCGCGCTGGCAGCAGCCGGCCGGCGGACAGATGCGGCTCGGTGGACAGCCGCAGCCGGCGGGCATGCCGGCGGCGCCGTTCCGCGCGCAGACGCCGCGCCAGCCGACTCCGGCCGGCGTGATGCGCGGCATGCAGGCGCCGTCCCGCCCCATCACGGGCCAGCAGCCGATGCTGCCGGCCGGCATGCAGGCGCGCGCCATGGCGCCCCAGCCGGCCCACCTGGCGCAGCAGCGACCCAACAGCTACAAGTACACGCCCAACATGCGTAACCCGCCGCAGGCGCCGCTTTCGGCCGTGGCGCAGTCGTCGATGGCGCCGCAGCCGCTGGCGCAGCCGGCCGTGCGCGTCCAGGGCCAGGAGCCGCTGACGGCCAGTATGCTGGCCGCCGCCCCGGAACAGGAGCAGAAACAGATGCTCGGCGAGCGTCTCTACCCCATGATCCAGGTAAGACCGACGGAACGGCTTACTTATGATGCTGCCAAGGTCATCCCGAAACTCATTGCAATTTGATTTATATTTTTGCGTCCTCTATAGCAGTTGTAACTGTCACTGAAATGTATCTTTGCATGCTGATTTGTTTTACCAATATTCAGTATATTGGCGAGCTAACCTCGTTCAGAGAGGTTCACTTTGAGTTTAGTACCGTTCGGCGCTGCCTTGTCGGAAGTTTTAACGTGACGTCATGCACCGTTTAGTGTGAACATTCTCTTTCTAGCGTTTGCTCGTATTTCCCGTCTGCTAATGTCTGCCCGCCCAGCGCTCTAGCCTCTAATCCCTTTCCATCTGTTTCACAGCGCATGTACCCGGAGCTGGCCGGCAAGGTGACCGGCATGCTGCTGGAGATCGACAACTCCGAGCTGGTGCACATGCTGGAGCACCACGAGTCGCTCAAGGGCAAGGTGGACGAGGCGGTGGCCGTGCTGCAGGCCCACCAGACCAAGGCGGCCGCTGCTGCCGCTGCCGCTGCCGCTGGTGCCCCGGAGGCGGCCCAGGCTGCTCCCGTCGCTGCCAAGGAGTAAAAACCTGACGGACGGCTGGCGGTCAGTCTCTGGCCGATCAGCCGACCGGCGGACGTGTATAAAAATAGTAAAACCCAGAAGAAAAATGTAAAAAGAAAACGTTGGCAATATGCCGAGAGGTGTGATCGGTTGGGGTTCGGAACTTAGCCGCAAGTGAGTGTGTAGGTAGCGGGCGTCTGCTCGGCGGCGGCAGCTGAGGTTGGTGGTGGGTCACCGCCGGCGGCCGCCGCCGCCGCCGACTGGCGTCCCGCGGCGCCGGCCGACCGGCGGGGTCCGGCGGGCCGCCGACTCTGCCGGCCGGCCGGCGCGCCCTGCTTCTGTCCTGTCCTCCACCCACTCTGCCATAGTCACTGTAGCGCCGACGAGCGCCCTGGGACCATGGCGTCCACGCTGGCGCCGCATCCAGAGAGAAAATCGCCAAAAAAATCGCAAAAGGAAAAAGAACGATCGGCGAGGGGCCGGCGCGCGGGACAAACTGTCCGCGGCGGCGGTGTCGCGGAGCGCGGCGCCGCCGGCCGCGCGCGCCGGCCCCTGCCGTGATCAGTAGTGTCGTGAGATGTCGTATAACACCAAATTGGTTGCTTCCGGACGGCGGAGGGCACGCCCGCGCCGTCCCCCCACTCCTAGACGAGTGGTGCCGCCTTTCTGTTGGCCAGAGCCCCCGCTCCCGGCCGAGACGATAGAGCTAGCTGGCTCACTTTCGAGCTGTTTACCGCGTCATTGCCCACCAAGATGATACGTGTGTATAAAATGATAAAACATCTTTTTTATAAAAAGCTCAAAATAGCTCTCGCTTAGGGAGATTGAGAAAAGCTCATAACAGAAAGTGCCAGAAAACCCTCGAACAATAAAAAAATAAACCCGACGACTGATTGCTCGTCCTTTCACCAGCGCCTTGCGTGACGCGCGGGGTGGCAGTGACGACCACCGGGTCACTTACCTTCGGTACAGCGCGCCTGTGGCCGACCCCCGCGTTGTATATACTTCCTCCTCTGTTCTGTGCTTATGTGGTTACTCTTCTTCGCCGTCTTATGTTTTGACGTTCCTTCGTTTCGAAAATAAACTTTCTTATCTAATACGGTTTTATTGGAGCTGGTGCGATGTGAAACAGCGAAACGAATTACGTGACACTTCGATTCATTTCCTTGGACTTTGTGTTATTGTTAATTGCAGCTATTATTTTAGGGAAGGATTGTGAATGGGAACGATAAAGATAACGTAATAATAAAGATAACCTCTTGGATACTGGAACGGAACACGACAAAACGATACAGGGGGGTTCACACGGGATCAGAGGCGAATTGATATGCTGTAAGTGACTAGAATGAACGCCATGTGCACGGGACAAGCAGGGCAGGCTTAACCGGACCGGGCTCAGTTGTATCGAATAACAGCTTGCAGCAAACTACAGTCATTACGACTTTCCATATGTCGACACCCGAAGCACCCTGTCGTCCTGGAGGGCTCAGGGCTCACTGCTCAGGCCACTGGCTGTATAGCTCGCGATGTCCGTTTGATTGGCTGACGGCCCGTAATGACTGGTCGACCCAGCTGTTCGCCATTGCTTCGTCACAGCTGTGTCCTACGATCGGCCGGGTCAGTCGACTGTTACCAACAGTAGAACGTGCTAGGGTGAACGATGTCACTCCTGTGGATGGTTCTCTGGGCTGTGGGCGTAGCCTCTGCGCAGGACGTGACCTCCACGCCGGGACCGACCGCAGTCAGGTTAGTCAGAGACGGCTGATGTGGACATAGCTGAAATTTCGATACTCTGTTCTCTCGGGTTTATGGGATTGCAGGACGTTCAGTTCCATTGTGCCGGTCGATTGACTATTGAGCCCTCAGTAGAATCAAGGCCGGTTAGCTGAAAAGGTTGTACTTTCGCTACGTCGTAAATAGCTGAAAGAGACAAGGGATTGTCATTTGATTCATTTCACTAGGAACATGCTTTTGTGGTAACCAAGCGCGAACTCGCCTGACAACTTGTGATCGTGAGTCGTGACTCGAAACTATAAAATATCGGGCCAGAAGGTACACGCGGATTTAGATTTTTCTTGAATGAAAAATTTACCATTATACCATTTTGAATGGAAAGTTGATAAATGATTATACAGCTTTTCTTGTGACATTTCGCTTTATAAACCATCCTATAAAAAGGCTTACGCTTACAAGAAGGCATGCTGCCTACCATTCACCCCTGACCGCTGTTACACCCTCGATCCGGACCTCCCTGCAGTCCCTCCGGCGAGGGGTGCCTGGTGTCAGCTGGCGACCTCAGCTCGCAGCCGCCGGCTGTGGCCCAGCTGTCGGAGCTGCTGCAGCAGCTGTCGGCAGCTCCGTCCCCGCTACCACCGGCGGCAGAGCGCCAGCTGCTCCGTCTCACGCCCAGGCTGCGGCGGCTGGCCGCGCTGCTAGCGTCATCTGAGGCGGTCGCTGCCGCCGCCAACGCCACCGGGCGGCGGCTGCGCGCACCGCCCGGCGCCGTGGCGTTCGAGAGGGAGCTGGCGGCGGAGCACCTCGCCGCGATCCGAGCCGACCTCAACTGGACGGCGCTGGGCGCCCCCTGCCGGAGGTCCATCCAGGCTCTGCTGGACGGCGTCGACCAACTGCACGACTGGGCCTGGGAAAGTGAGTGGCAACTGGGAACGATTGATGTCATGGAGCTGCATGTTAGACAATCGATTTATTTGAAGCAGGATGCATGTTTTGTTTTCTACGGGGAAATAGGAATTCGAAACTGGAAGTTCAGAAATTAGACAATCTTTACGATAAACATTTTAATCGATTAACATAGCGATTATCACCCGTCCGTCGTTTCCGTCCTCAGGAAGCTCAAATCCTTCTCCTCCATGCCGTAACCCTCGCTCCGGGCTGGACCGATATCTCATGCGGGCTGCTCCCTTGGAGCGGCACCGCTGCTCCCAGGGGAGCACACCCGTAGCCGGGTGCAGAGAGTACCTTGGGGCTGCTCGGCCTGTCTTTTGGGACGGGCTCAGCCCCGGTGACTCTCTAGGATGCCTGCCCAGACCAATGTCTTCCCCTAAATCTTATCGTCCTCCCGGCTCTGAAATGGTCTGGTCCGACCGAAAGGGCCTTACCCAACAAAACAAAATCACGATTAGCGTACGATGCATTACGATCATGGATCAGCATCAATAGTTAGAAAAAAAAAGAAGGCAAAATTTCAATGCTTGCTCATTGCAATCTAGCCTCAGCAACGGTGAAGTGAAGCGCAGTAGTTATGTGATAAAGTTAAAACACAGACACCGTTTATTACGGAGCGAGCGAAGCGAGCGTAGTCTTTCCTTAGATTAACGGAAATTTCTGAGTATGAGCGGCCGGCCGGCCGGCCGTGCGGACGCTTTTGCGAGGCTTATATCTCAGCAACCACTTGACCGATTTACACGCGGTAATTTTTGTAGGGTAGCTTCATTCCTTCTACTAAGTACTGGACTATTCCCGATGCGTGTGGGTGACCCCTTATGCACGTGCCACGTGCATAAGGGAGGTGCAACGAGGAGGTGTCAGTTTTGTAATTGTTGCAATATCTTGGTAACTACTTGGCCGATTGCGCTGAAAGTTTTAAGTTGGCATGTAGGTAGGTACCCACTAGGCACTGCATATCCATGTGCCAGAGTTGGGGTGCTGCTGCACGTGCGCACGTGCAGGGGTCGTTTCCAGATCTCGAGAACGGCTCGACCGATTGCGCTCAAATTTGGTACACAGGGACCGGTTAGTAGGGTGCCGTGCACAAGTCAGTTGGGACCCATTTTGCACGTGCGCACGTGCAGGGTGCCGCTTCCAGATCTCGAGAACGGCTGGGCCGATTGTGCCCAAATTTGGCACATCGCTAGAGACCGGTTAGTAGGGTGCCGTGCACAAGTCAGTTGGAGGTACCCCCTCCCAATTTCGCACGTGCAAGGCCCACCCTCTCGCTCGCTCCGTTAGTCGCCCCAAAAGGCGTTATACTGGTGTATTTAAGAGACGACTGAACAGTCGATAAAGAGCGAAAATAAGTTAAATTCTCTTGTAACAATGAACACATGTACCCATCCACATCAGTGAAACGTGAAAGGTGTCATGAATTGACACATCACATCCGAATGTAACCATTCGGATGTGATGTGTCAATTACCATGACACCTTTCACGTTTCACTGTTACAACTACGTGCAAGAAGTCCTACTGTTAGTGAATTATGATAACGCTGCACAACGTCGCATGCAAATGCATGATGATTTCTTTGCATAATAAAGTGTCTGTTGGTCGTTCATGACACGATCCGATGCATCACACTGATAGATGGTCCTATGGTAAAGCTGTGTCTCAATATGTGCTTGGTGTTAAAATGAAATCAATCAAACTGACCAGCACGATTGCAGAAGAAGTCGCACATGATGGGTTGTTAAATACGAACGCATCCTAAGTGTTACCGGTCAGACACGCAATGCTTACAATACAAACGGTAAACGGTATAATATAAGCGGTGTGCACACAACAGATGGTGACCTAAATGCTGTTATGCTGCATAGTTGCACACGTAAAAGCGATGTGCAACTGAGGCTGCAACAGGTGTCTCTTATCTTATTGATGTTATAGATGGGTCTCTTATAGATCGGTAGCTGTTAGATAGATGTTTAGGCATTGATCGATGATATTGGCGACCTAGTCCGGTAAGATTCAGCTGTTTGAGCTTATAAAGGAATGCAATAGGCCACGCTTTCATTAGGTACTTGGGTACTTTGAAATGTTAGTCAGTAGGTTATAGATATTTGAATAACCGTTCATTTGGCGCTAAAGCATCGAATGCATCTATTAAGTTTTTTTTCTGTATGTTTTATCCCGGATATTTTTTAAAAGCCATATTCTTCATACCTAAACCATATTCTTCAGGTTGTGCCATATTCAACCACACAACCGTTACCAATGTGTTATATCCGGTGAGAAAAGCCCAGTCCAAGATGCTATTATCGTGAACTGAACGTTCTCTGTTGCTGAGCTGAGCTGTGAAGGAAGCGATAAATAACATAGTTGTTTGGCGATGACGCACGTCCACATGCGCAAACAAGGACACTTGATGTTTTTGCATCATTTTAAGAGATCATCATTCAACAAACTATTTTGCATTCTCACTGGTATAGCTTACGCATTGGGCTTTCCCAACAACATCCGCCTAAATTCTGCATATGTAAATATTTGAACCGTATCACAATATTCCTCGAATTGTAGCGGCCGTCGTCCTTATCTTCCATATATGACAAGGTCTCCGGCCGACCAGGGGGCGAGGAGGGGATAACTGTTCTCGGTGCTAGCTCAGTGACGGCCGCGGTCAACCCCAGCTTACGGGATCAGGCCAGCGGGTAGTCCGATTAACACAGATAGCCAACAGTTTCGTAAGCAGATTAGGTTCTTTGGTTTGCACCGCGAGGCGCTATTGCCAGGCCACTTTGAGAGGCAAATCGTTTTTTGTCAGAATTTGCGGGATGAGATCATGTTTTATAGCACGAGCGTTGTTTAGATTAGTGTTTTGGGTGAGATAGTCGGTGCGGTACTCTCACACGTGGCCTGGCATTGACGCAAATTGTGACAAACAAAATACCAACAGGACTAGCACAAGATGCTTGTACTATGCACTGGGTTTATCCGCTTTGAGAGCGGTTCTCCTCTTACGGTATTATCAAACCGTTAGTGGAAAGCACGAAGTGATACGGCATAGTTCTTACTTTTTCATTCTTCCGTTGCGCTTAATACGTAAAAAGAGCAAGTTGTTTTCGTAAGGCAAGGTCTCTCTCAAATAGGACAAAAAAAAAGAAGACAGATCAGTTAATTTTAACCATCGCCACTTACCTCTGTCCAAAGACATCAGCGCCACTGTTCCCGCATAAAGGAAATAAACACAAGATGCCAACAATGCTTTTGTCCCAACTGATGACCAGGCTAACATACAAGTGGCCATGTGTTCCAGTATATTTAGCCAGTATGCTAGTATTGAGTATATTTATCCAGTATGTAGCAGTACGTCTGTCTGCCCGTCTGCCCGTCTGTTAGCCTGTCCAGCTATCCATCTGTCCGTCAGGCCATTACTTCATCCGTCTAGTTTGTCCGTCTGTCCCTCTATCCGTCTGCCCGTTTATCCGTCTGTCCATCTGCCCATCTCCACGTCTGTCCGTCTGTCCGTCTGTTAGCCTGTCCGTCTGTTACCCCTTCCGTTTGTCCGTCTTGTCCGTCCATCTGCCCGTCTGTCCGGTACTTTATCCGTCTCGTCTGTACGGACAGACGGATATAACGGACAGACGGATGTCTGTCCGTCTATTCGTCTCTTCGTCTGTCCGAATATCCGTTTGTCCGTCTGACCTGATTGCTTGACTGTTCGTCTACCTGCATGTCTTGAATTTCTTACTTAACTCTATTAGTGGCAGGCTCCTGGCTACCCCATATTAGTGGCAGGGGGGGGGGGGCTGTTTACGACCCCCCTTGACATCTCGAGATCTAACCGGTCGATTTTCAAAATTCAAACGGCATTCGATTTGGCTCAACGAGATCTACGTTTCTAAAAAAAAATTAAATTAAAAAATGTCAATAGGGGGGTAGAGGGGGGTAAAAACGGGCAAATTGCAGATACATTTTAGACTGTTTATCACGGCCAGGTTTCTGAACCAATCTTAACGCAACTTTTGCCGATCGATAGAGAATGAACCAGGAATTCACATGGATCCTAAAAATATGCATTTTCAAAAATCATAGGCGGATACAGATCATTGAGATTGGGGGTACACAAAAAGTATAGTAAATAAGGTTTTTGTTGGTACTGTTTCTAAAAAGGGTGGCAATGGTCTTGTTATGTTACAATTTTCTTATGAGAGAACGACTAAAATTGTATTGGTCATGCATAGGCGGTGTCAGGGCACCTATGTTGGGAGGTAAAAAATAACCCCCCTTTTTGGACGCCTGGATCCGCCTATTATAGCAAAAACGTGTCAAAAGAGGATGCACAATAACTTTGTATATGTTATCACATGATACCTTTCATTCACTGTTCGTAAAACTGGTGCAGCATCGTGATCTTCGCCCAAATGACTCGCTTCACGAATAGGACCCCCCAATTCCCAGTGCTCTGGAGCCGCCCCTGGTAAAGTTATGAACTTGAAATTTTCAGGGAATGTGCCCAATTTAGTTTTAGGAAAAGTCAGAAAATTTCAGCATCGTAGCTTCAGCGGTTTCGGAGATATTCCCGAAAAACCTGAGGGGTGAATAAAAACAACCCCCCCCCTGCCACTAATAGGGTTAATACTTTCACAATACCTAATTATCATAAACCTCAATGCTTCCAGCCATTTGCTTGTAAAAGATCGGCTCCCCCTTCCTAAAACAACAGCCATTAGTCACTGGAACAACATCCAAGGGACCAAACTCGCTAAGCCCCGCACGTTTCCTTTTCCACGCAAGTGGCGATGATGCGACAGGTTTCCGTTCATCCAGGCCTATCTTGATTTATGAATTACTTCACACTCCACAGCAGCTTTCGTGCCGTAATATGCATGAATGAGGGCAATGGCTATGTTTCAGCCATAGAGCTCCGTCCATTGGATCCACCCACCACGAATAATTGATCGTCGGATAATAGGTGTTTGATCATTGTCGCGATATTACGTGAGCGGATCTGCCGACCCGATGACCGCGAACTGAGGCCGGCTGCGTTGTGTTGTGACAAGGTCAGAGGAGACCAGTTCCACTGGAATCGGTGTTCGGCTCCGATCCAGATTTTTAGCGGCTTAGTGGTCTGGCGCTAGTCAGAAGGTGTTGCACCATTCCTCGGCATTTTTTAATCACTACTGGGTCTGCACTGGGGTGGCTGAGTTTACAGATTAACCGGCCTAGCAAGCTCCTAACTAACTGGGTGTAATCGTGGAATTAACGCTGTTCTTCGGGTAATTCATCTGACGACATTAGCGAGACTCTCATTAGACTGACGTATGGTGGTTCAATTATAATGGTGTCAGTAATGTATTTTTTAAAATGTGATTATATGTACTTTGCGTGACACATTTACACAAGCAAATAAAACATCAGAATATCTGCAAAATACAGCAACGTGTAAGGCGTTCATACGCAAACGGCATTTCGAATGTGGTACATATATGCCTAAAGTATACAAAGCACAGCTAATTAACCCTATTCCTGGCGGGCTCCGCCGGGACAAGAAACTGGCGGGGGGAGGCCGATTCGGCCCCCTTGAGATCTCGGAAACTAATGGACGGATTTTGATCCGGTGAGCGGCATTGGATTGCTCTCAACGTGAACTACATTTTAGACATTTTTTATATAAAAAACGAACAAAAACAAACCCCTGAGACCCCCAAAAAGCCAAAATTTTCCGATTTGGCAGAGTTTTCAAAGAATGAGGTCTAGCTCAGTGTCTAGGAAAGTCAGAGCAAAACGGAAAAAAGCAGCTGATAGCTGAGGAAATTTCATTTCGAATAGCTGCCAACAGATTTAAGCTATTTTTGATATTTGAGGCGCTAGGAGTCAAAAATCTAAACGCGTATTTTTTAGTAACATCACTTTTGCGTCAATAACTTCTGAACCGTTGGTGATAGCCTGAAACGGTAAACGCCGTTGCAGTTCTCTAATAAATGCGAAACAAATGGTTTGTATTTTGACCTTCTAAGGTCACTCTCAATTTTGACCTCAGGTCACGGTTGACCTGACCTGAGCAAGTATAGGCGAGTAACATATCATTCGATACGTCATGACTAGGGAAACATGTTGTTATATAAAGAAGTGTTTTATCATATTCGTTTTACTTTTATCATTATATGAAGACGATATGAATGTTTCATGCATTTAAGTCCTGATTTTACCCCAAACATGTTAGTTTGAATCGTTTCCCCATTGACCGTAATGGTAAGCATTGGTGACCTCAGGTCATGACCTGTCAAGGATATAACAAAAACCGAAACATATGTTGCACATATCGGTAAGCTTATTTGAACCTGGAAGTTTGAACATATTTGCTCGAAAACTCTTGCTGTGGTGAGGGGACAAACTTTTTTTATGACCTAAATTAAGGTTGACCTGGTGACCTGACCTGAAATCAGATCAACTCAAAATTTTCAGAAATGTTGCGTAAAAGCCTTTTAGGAAAAGTCAGAAAATTTGAACTTGCTAGCTCAAAGCGTTTGGGAGAAATAACCAAAAAACCTCAGGGGGAGGGCTCCTGAGCCCCCCCCCCGCCAGGAATAGGGTTAATACTTAATACAAGCGCAACGCAACGCAAGTTCAAGTAGGTACACATGTATGGATGTATACGCATTAGGCTTATATGGTCTCCCCTCGTATCGTCTCTTTCGGCTCCCCCAGTGTCTCGTTTCAGCCCCTAATGACAAACATCGGACACATCTGATCCACAGTGTTCGACTCGAACGGGAAGCCGGAGGCCGGGTTCAGCGACGGTAACAGTTTCTGGGAGGGCCGGTTCTCGCAGTGTAACGGAGTACGCCACGAGTCAGTGTCGGGGAACAGCTCGGTGCACATCCAGGGCCGCTACTACAAGGCCCAGCTGACCGGCCTGCTGCTGCCCGACAAACAGGTGCGTCTCCCGTCTCAGTCACCCGTCTCCTGACTCTGTGTCTCGTCTTAGTTTCTTAGGTCTGTCTCCTATATCTGATCTATTCGTCCCTTCGTTCCGCCATTGCCTCCCGGACCCGACTCTGATCGCTGCATTTTGGTCGTCTCTCTGCATCTCCCTTTCCCGTCCCCTTTCGTCGTTCCACTCACGGTCAATCACCATGACCCGTCTGACGCTCCTGGGAAAACCGCGGCGGTGTACCCAGCCGAATTGGGTACTACCTTGTCCCATCTGAGCATGCTGAAAACGTGGTCTTATGTACTCTCCCGAGCCAGCCCGTCGCGATCCAGACGTGCTGATCATGTATGACCGAGGTACACGGCTACCAAACCGGCTTTCTAATGGCTGTGTCAAGGTGTAGATGCTGTATATAATCCATTTTCGAGGACGGCCATGGCCGGATGTCGTATTTTTGCTGTCTGTTTTCGCAGCTGCGCAGGTAAAACAAACCGCAATGTCGTGTTGACAGTGGCGAACACAGTACGTAATAATATGTGGTGCCACGGCATTTCAGGACATCAAAATATCAGGTGTATGTAGTAGAGACATAAGGTCATGGATAACACCAATCATTGGCACAGGTACACCGGTAGCTTATACCATTTTCTCAGCTTTCTGATTTTTTCCTTAATTCATGGATTAATGTCGATGGAATGAACATTACAGGTATACCGACTAAGATAATTAACCGATGTAGGTTTATGTGTTCCAGACTCCAGTTCCCCTGTCACATAATCTCCGCCGGGCCTTTCGCAATCACATTGCAACCGGGTAAAGCAGGCATTGAGTAACTCGTTTGACAATGTGTTACATAACAGTATAGTACCCACTACCCACCATCTCCCAGTTACTTACATAACTTGGCATATTTTTTATTCTATACATTGTATAATCCAAATGTGATTAGTAGGGTCAACTATTAATCTATATCGATGAGGACGGCATCCAATCCAAGTCAGTTTTACAAAGATGAAAGAACGACCAATTATTATGGTCGTCGATACCGTTTGTTTGAGAAAAGGTTGATGGCTTATGGCGCCCACGTTGTTAAAGTTTTGCTTGCATACCTAAATAGTAAATACCCGCATCGTATTTGCCATTTGTGATCATTATTCGTGTTATTAACCCGCGAGTTGCTGGGGGGGGGGGCGTTAAACGCCCCCACTTTTTTCGCCGGGCCATAGCATAAAAATGGCGCGCCGCAGGCGCGCCAAATTTTGGGTACCTGTAGGGAATTGATTGAAGTTTATTGTGACAAAGTTTAAAAAAAAAAATCGGTCGGAAAATTTTTGAGATATCGAGGTTTTAGTGACGTCATGATTTCTGAGTTTTCGACCAAAAACGGCATATGTTCAAAAAATCATATAAAATCACAGAATAGACATACAGGCATGCCGTAAACGCCATTAGACTGCCAATACCATGGTCAATCAAATGGCTATCTTCGATTATTGATTATCGTTCCGCATTTTCCATAATCTTGAACTGAATCTTGGCAATTTTTCGTGACTTCTTCACGACCATGATATATGAATTTCTTAAATTGAACTTTTTGAGCCAAACACGTACACATATGATAAAATGAATCGTGTTCTACGCCCCAAATTACCTATAAAACATGTGTCACAGGCTGCGAATATCAGTTTTGATTTTCGGGGATATGTGCCTACCCGGTTGACCTGACCTTGACCCTGACCTATGCTTGACTGACCCCTACATGGAGCTGACACTCTTGTAGGCCTTATAAGATGGATTGTGCACCGTTTTGACAGAGTTTATGGCGAGAGGCGCCCATTGCGAAGTCCTGAAGTCCATGCTACTGAAAGCCCGATTTCAGGTGTTTGACCTGACCTTGACCCGACCTGTGACCTCAAAATTCAACTTTAAAGTACTCATCTGAAGCGTCTTGTCGCGCTCTTTCGTTTGCCGCCTCGTGCGTTTCGCTGCGCCTATTGGTTCTCGAGTTATCGGCTGGGGGCGTTTAACGCCCCCCCCCCCCAGCAAACGGTGGGTGGCGAAATACCCCAGCAACTGCCGGGTTAAAGTATGTACCAATCATATTTCTGATTTGTGAATGCTAGTAATAGTATAATACCGTATTACAAGCACAAAACTGCATAGCAAGCCAAATATTGGTGGCTGTTTCACTAGTAAATGAAATTTTCCATATGCGAGAGCTCTATTTATGCTCGTGCCTGTATTCTGTCCCCATGGTAAGCTGCCAGCCAACTGTCTTGACTGGTCTTGACGCTGTCACGGTTGCAGAGTTTTCGCGTCACGGTTGGCACGTGCTTCCCAGACCTGTGCACCGACGTCGACGTGAAAACCGTCCTAAATGACGCCCCAGGCTTCATGAGGTAAGACAAACCATCTCTCCTGGATACTATACAATGAAAACCCTATCTAAAGGTACTTGACCTGACCTCAGAGGTCACCGGCTGATCCAGGGCTGCGGAGTCGATGGATTTTCGGCGACTCCGACTCCGACTCCGACTCCGGCTTTAAAAAACCAGCTCCGACTCCGACTCCGACTCCGGGCAGAATTGTCGACTCCGACCGACTCCAACTCCCGACTCCGACTCCGCAGACCTAGCAGGGCTGCGGAGTCGACAGATTTTCGGTGACTCCGACTCCGACTCCGGCTCGGGTTTCTAAAATCGACTCCGACTCCGACTCCGACTCCGGTCACAACTGTCGACTCCGACCGACTCCGACTCCGACTCCGACTCCTACTCCGCAGCCCATTAACACCTTAAAGTCGAGTACCAATCGCTGTGCCTCATAACTTCGTACACGCTTGTTTTTTCTTCTGTGAGGCTCAAGCTAAATTAGGGGCGAAACAGTTAGGGGATCTTATCCGCCCCATCCTTACCGAGCTCGCGAGCAGCTCGCGAACTGTTTGCTGTTTGTTCATCGAATCTCGGCCGATGACGTCGGCTGCTCGTGAGCATATTTGTTCGTGAATAATGTGTTTGTTTGTTTGTTTGTTTGTTTGTTTGTTTGTTTGTTTGTTTGTTTGTTTGTTTGTTTGTTTGTTTGTTTGTTTGTTTGTTTGTTTCTTTATTTGTTTGTTTGCTTGTTTGTTTGTTTGTTTGTTTGTTTGTTTGATTGTTTGTTGGTTGGTTGGTTGGTTTATATGTTTACTTATTTATTTGAAAACATTAAACAAACAGAAGCCCCTGACGTATGTAGTTGTTATTTGCTGTCAGCCACGCCCACTAGTTCCACGAATTTGCCAACTGCCAAGACCTTGGTCCTTAGCCTCAGTCGGCCTTTTTCCAGTTTTTATAGCCTTGGGACAGGTTTTATATAGCTAGGCTATGAGTGACAGCTGAACAATATACCTACGCAATAGCTTAAATGTTGCATGAGACACGACAAACCTTTAGTTCGTTCTTTAGCGTGAATGAATCAAAGGAAAATGCTATTGTGAATGTCCATCGGCATAGTTGTTCTTAGGGATATGAATGCATAAAAGACCACCGTATCATACAAGTGATACATCAGTCACGTGTCATACTTTTAAGAAGTGCCGATGGGTTAAACAGGTTAACCCGGCAGGTGGTGGGCCTCCCGGCCACTTTCCGCGCGGTGGGGGGGGGAGGGGCACTTTTTGCCTCCCCCTCGTATCTCCGAAACTACTGGACAGATCCGTAAAATTCAAACGGAGTTCGATAGTTCTGTCAAATTTGTTTCTGTCAAATTTGTTTCGGGAAATCCAATTTCATTGACCTCGGGGTCACCAATGACGTCACAGGTCAGGTCAAAGATAAAATGTTTTCCCGTTCACGGGTCTTCTATAACATCCAGTTACCAGTAAAACGCATTTTATCAAAAATAAGCGATAGGGCGCAAGCTGCTTAGAACATATGTTGCTATTTTAGAGGTCACTGATAATACCAGGTCAGGTCACAGGTCAGGTCACCAATGGGCTGCACATGAACTCAATTTTTCAAGGGCTGTGCGATGCATGTTTTATTTTTTATGTTTTATGGCCGATTTTTCATTTCAAACTCAATGGTGTTGGTTATAAAACCATCAAGAACCAATTAGATCACCTTCTGGTGGAGGTCAGGTCAACGTCAGGTCAAAAAAGGTCAAATTTCAAAGTTGATATTTTTGCTTGAAATGGACACCTGTTCATACATCTTTTCTACACAGCGTGTGAAAATTTCAGATCAGGGTCGTTCAAGGTCAGGTATACGAAGTGACCATACCTCAAAAAAAGTTTAAAGGCTCGCTATAGCTACACCGACTGAACGATCACTCTTGAAACTTTCAGAGATCGATAAGACTATCAATATATATAAAATGTTTATATCGGATGCAGCTCGTCACGGCGAGTCTAATGATGGTCTTTGATTGCGCTACGTGCTCTAGAATTGCTAAAAATTGAGTTTGAAATTTTGACGTCATCAATTTTAAACAGTTTTTTTCGCTATAACCTAGCCAAAAATGAGTTATCGATCCAAAATTTGGTATGCGAATAGAAGTCGATAGGGGCTATTACATTTATTCCAAATATTCAAATTCAAAGCTCATTTATTCAAAAAATATTCAAAACTCAAATTCAAACACATATTCCAAATATTATAAACCCATATTCAAAACTCGAAAAACTTGTTGGATTTTTTGTCTATTATATAAAAAAATTGATTTTTTGGGTAAAAATCCTAAAATTTCAAAATTTTTAGATGGCAGCTTAGTAGCCCTGGTGATTTTACACCTTTTATGTCTACACATTTTTATGTGTCTTCAAAGGTATAGACCTGACAGTTCTTCCCGCGAAACCTTTTTTTTGGGTCGAAAATGGCAGAACATCCAGTAAAACGCATTTTATCAAAAATAAGCGATAGGGCGCGAACTCTGACGTCATTTGCGGAGAACTTATCAAAGCCTTTGAAAAAAGTTTTGGTCACAATGTGTAAAATTGATGCCCGGGAGGGTACTGAAAGTTTGGTGACGATCGGCGCAGTGGTTCTGGAGATATATCGAAAAGACTAAAGGGGGTGGGGGGTGGGCGGGGGGGGGGGGGCAAAAATGCCCCTCACCGCCTGGAAGGTTAACTATAGCTTTTAATTGCCCAGGTGCCCAACAAACAAGTCGAGCTTGCTGGGCAGCACTACCGACCCACCAAAGGGTCACTACACACAGAAAAATATTGACACCGTTAGCGGTGTAATTGCAAAGTACATATCTGAGCACTTGAGGAACGTTAATTTAGTCCCTTCCCCGCTTAACCCGCGCACCGACGGGGGGGGGGCGGATATCCGCCCCCCCTGAGGTTTTTCGCGGATAGCGGGAAAACCGCGGCGCGTAGCGCCGCGAAATTTGGTATGACTATTCCCTCATCAATTTTACACATGGTGTGCAAGTTTGAACCTCCTAACTTTTAAGGTCAGGTCACCAGGTCACTTTGAATGACCCAACCTCAAGTCACTTTTTTGCAACTTTGTCACCGTGCCAGAGCTACAGTAGATGTCGGAGGCCTTTGAAAGTCGCAGGATGTTATAAGGTCATTAGTAACTACAATTTGTATATCTCGGAATTTTGATATCGGTGACCTAAGGTCAGGTCAATTTCGCGACCTCCCCATTATAAGTCAATGGGGGAAAAATCAACTCCCTATTTTTACCACTAAAACGGGTCGGAATGGCCCCATATACCATACATGACTTCATATACGATCAACCTTCACTACCTTGAGGTCTGTTTTGCTGTTGAGCAGCTGTGAGGTCATGTGACGTCATCAAAGGTCACCAAAGGTTTTTGGCCAATAACTCCGTACAGGAACAAGATACAGCCGCGTGGATGGTCTCATTGTGTTCAGCTCGTCAAGACGCATCGAATGATATACATGATGACCTCGAGGTCACGTGACCTGAGGTCAACCTTTGACCTTGACCTTTCGAGGTCAACATATATATCATTCGATGCGGATTGACGAGAGGATCACGATGATGCCCTTAGTTTGCTCCTATCTTGACTAATTCGAAAGTTATTCGAGAAACTCTCTCCATATCTAGCGCCGCCATTTTGCATTTTTCGACCCCTGTGACGTCATCTTTGACCTGACCTGAAAATGACCTTTGTAAAAATTGTAGATCTTGACCGTGCGTATCCGATGCCGTTTACCGCTTGTCGCTATCTTGCTTTGTTCTCGAGATCTCAGGGGGGGGGCGGTTATCCGCCCCCCCCGTCGGAACTAAGTTGGCGCAGACCCCCGTCGGTGCGCGGGTTAAATTACTCGCGCTTCTAAATGAACACCAGGAAGAAGGTAATAGAACACTGTTAGGAGGGTTGGGTGTTTTACTACATGTAGCAAAACACCCAACCCTCCTAACAGTGTTCTATTACCTTCTTCCTGGTGTTCATTTAGAAGCGCGAGTAATTTAAGCGGGGAAGGGACTAAATTAACTTTCCTCAAGTGCTCAGATATGTACTGTGCAATTACACCGCTAACGGTGTCAATATTTTTCTGTGTGTACGCCCGGCTTACCCATGTGCACACAAACAAATATTAACACCGTTAGCGGTGTAATACTACATGTAGTAAAACTCCCAACCGTCCTAACAGTGTTCTATTACCTTCTTCCTGGTGCTCATTTAGAAGCGCGAGTAATTTAAGCGGGGAAGGGACTAAATTAACTTTCCTCAAGTGCTCAGATATGTACAGATATGTACTGTGCAATTACACCGCTAACGGTGTTAATATATATATTTTTTTTGTGCGTGCATTTGAAGTTAAACGCACCGTTGAGCACGTGGTCCTGCCAGTTCTATTCACCTTCTCTTGCCAAGCACGGCGGCGGAACGGGGAGGGCACCGGGGCACCGTGCACCCCTTTGATTTTGACATTTTAACATTAGTTCTATGGGCGTTGCATGGAAAGAATGGGACCAAAACGGCAGTGCCCCCCCCCCTAATTGAAGGTGTTCCGCCGCTACTGTTGCCAAGCATGAGTTTTAACTAATTACTTTAATTAATGAAATGTAATCTTTACATATAAAACGTTCACAAAATGTAAAGCTTAAACAAAAACCGCTATAACGCTCACCGTATCATCTGGCTCACTTTCCACCTCGCTTCAACTCCACCCTTATTCACTTAGCCTCATCAGCTTTAAGTGCCTCTGTTCTTCCTTCTTTAGCCAAGCCTGTTACAAGTCGGCCGAAACAAGCTCCCCACAATCGGTTTGGGCCGGATGAGGCCGCGCGCCGCACACCTCACCGAACGGACGGCGTGTGCGCTCAGTCCGCTCAGTCCGGCTTCCGTTCGGTCGGACCGCTGAGCTCTCAAAGGCGCTCCTCAGCTAGAGACCGACAATCGGCTCGTTCACGGGTGACGGGTCGCACCCGGACGTCCTCAGGGTGCTCTCCGGGCACCGTGAGTCCGGATCACGGGGTAACGGAGTACCTCACGGTCCTCCTAACCCGGACACTGCCGCGCCCCTAGCACAGCCACAGAAGCAGTCGTGAGGGACTCGGATACAGTCACGACTACGAGGGTCAGAGACACAGCCATGGACCCAGTGCCACAAGCACAGCCATGCAGTCACATCCACAGGAATAGATACATTGACGGACATAACCCCATACATACAGTCCAGGGCCAGACCCATGACCACAGGGTTTAGATTCCGCCCCAGCCCGGCCCGCAAAACGGGTCAAGGGTCCCGGAGGAGGAATTTATTCGTAATAGACGGTTGCACAGCTCAGGCGCGTTGACCGCCGTGTCGTCTGTTTACGCACAGTCTGCCGAAGGTTCCCGACCTGACCGATGGAATCACCTTCCGTACCGATGACGTCATCGGAATACTGGTGGAGCGGCAATTTTGGCAAGATTACACTGCTGTCAGCGCCTTGTAAGTCGCAAACGCACATCCTGCGGATCGTGTTCCTCTTGAACAATGCAGTCCAGTTACGCAATCGTATACGTGATTATGCTTTGCACCGCTTAGTGGATTTCCCATTGTTGGTCTAATTAACGTTGCATTATTATGCGTCGTCGTTAGGATGATGTCATTGCTATTTTTGTACATTGCTGATAAATTACAGGACGTTTTTTTTACATTTCTGGAGCTAGCAACAAAAATGTTGAAGTTCAAATCACTCCGAGAACTGTATTAGTGTCACTTATGCCTTCCGTTGACTTAACCATCCGTCATCACCGTCCCACAGGGCCACTGTGATTCTGTTCGGCACGCTGGCCGTGCTCGGCACTGCCGTGGACCTGCTGTATGAGGATGACGGAGAGACAGCCGCCCGTCCCCGCGGAGAGACTGTGACAGCGGCGTCCAAGGGCGAGCAGACCAAACTGGTAGAGCGCCGACCGAGCAGCTACAGTGCCCTGGAGCAGCGCGAGGCACCGGCCAAGACCGGCTCGCAGCCGTGACCACATCGCGGCGGTGACCTAACCGCTGGGTCAGCCGTGACCTTACCTCTTAGTCAGCCGTGACCTCGCTGCTTAGTTATAAGCCTTGACCTACTGCCCAGCCAATCGTGGCACCGCCCCTAGATTTGGCGTCACCCCGGCTCCTGAATCGGCCGTGACCTTAGTGCTCAGATAATCGTGACCCCTCCCCAGATCAACCGTGACCTCGCTATTCGAGTAACTCGAAACCTAGCGATGCCTTTGCACTCAGCGCTGGCTGTTTTTGGTGGTGCAGATTATATGAAGACATCGCGTGAACTGGTAATGAGCTGGATGAACGAACTGTGTAAGTCGGTGCATGTGCACAACCCGCGCAAGTGCTGCATTAATACTGGTAGTGCGTATGTGTCTACCTAACTTTATGCAGTAATTAATGTCACTATAAGAGTATGCATATTATAATACGTACTTACGTGCATATACCCAACTTACCTGTTTCAATCTGTCTTAACTACATGACATAAACAAGTTAAAGAATGGAAACGATGAAAAAAGTCTTTTGAATACGACGTCAGCGGACTAACAACGTGTTTAAGATGGATAAGAATGGTCTGTCAAGTTATACGAAGCTCCCGTCATCACAAATCAAACATGGTAACTAGACTATGACGCAAGTCTGCTACTGTGATCATTAATGATAAATATACTGCAACCTATATGATGGTTGTTGAGTTATACGTGAAAGAAGACTCAAACGATCCTGGGTTCAAATAACCGGTTTAAAGCACAGCACGAGCATGCCAACCATGACAGAGTTTATGGCCAATGTCATCCAAACAATGCCAGTGCGCACAATATCAGGCAGACTGCTCCTTTGATGAGTGCCGGCCTGGAGACTCGTCAGCGAATAGCGATTTTAATTTCTTAAAGGATTTCCCGCCGAAGATTTTCATTGAAGTGCCATTTACGACCGAGTCTTTGCAAGCCGACTGTCGCGTAGTGAGCGTTATGCAAAAATAAGATAAGTAACGACGAAAAATGAGAGCTGCATTGGCAGCGTGATGCAGGGACGCTTTGTTGTTAAAGGTCAAAATAGTCTAGTAGCGCAAAAACTATCAGTCAGCTCGCAATGGGTAGCCTAGGCCTAACAAACCTTTTGAAGCACTCAAGCTTAATGCTTCTGCTTACCGTTAAGCTTTCAATGTCCTGTTAATACCTTCGTATAATCTATTTGCGCATTTATACCACTTTTCGGTCCCTTGTACGTAAAAGCCTCACTGGCTTAGTTAAGTGAGCCATGGCTTTATGCACCTGTGTCTGACGCGGCTGCAAGTGGCTGTCAGACTTTACAGATTGGCCGGATGGTTGCTGACGTCTGTTACATGACACCGGGACACGCGGCTGAGAAGTGGGGATGGGTGCGGTGCTGAGGGGGGGGGGGGCGCTCCCAGAGGGGGGAGGGAGGGGGTTGAGAGGCGGCAGAGGGGAGCGGCATCCTCTACGTGCGCGTGTATGATCGCACCTGCCGCTACTCCGCCGCGCACCTGTGTCAGCCGCCTCTGCCGCCGTACCTCCGCTGTTCTCTGCTGAGTCAGAGCGTCGACACAGCTGCCGTCGTTGACGACGGAACACCGGCGGCGTCACCGAACGACCGTCACCAGACGTCATCGGCAGGCCCGCGCCCACTGTGTCGGCGACAGCAGAGGGAGGCACCAGCTCGAGACGGAGGAGATACGGCAGCAGAGGGAAGCACACCAGCTCAGAAACACAGGAGACGCGCCATGGCCAATACCAGTCAACTCGGCAGTAAGTACACTCGGCAGTAAGTATGTAACTGGTCAGTGGTCACCGTCCGCTGACGGAGACCTCGAGGATCCTTTCTAGGAATTAACCCGCGCCCCGTAGGGGGGGGGGGCCGAAACGGCCCCCCCTGTCCTTTTCGGTCGATATCTCCTAAACGGCTGGAGATATCGCCACCAAACTTTCAGGACCCCTCCGGGCATCAATTTTACACATTGTGACCAAAAATTTTTCCAGAGGCTGTGATAGGTTGGCCACAAATGACGTCAGAGTGACGTCATGTTCTGTCATTTTCGACCGAAAAAAGACCTTCGCGAGAAGACCTGTCAGGCCTACAGCTTTGAAGATAAAGAAAAATGATCAAGACATAAAAGGTGTAGAATTGACAGGGCTACAAAACTGCTATCTCGGATTTTTGAAATTTTTGAGTTTTGATCCCCAAAAATCAAAAAAGCATTTTTTTGGATATATTAGCCAAAAAATCCAAAAAGTTTTTTGAGTTTCGAAAAAAACGGAATATATGTGATAGTACCTACCGTCTTCTATCTACATACCAAATTTCAGATCGATACCTCGTTTTTTGGCCAAGTTATAGCGAAAAACTGTTCAAAAATGATGACGTCAAATTTTCAAACTCAATTTTTGGCAATTCTAGAACTCGTAGAGCAAAACAAAGACCACCATTAGACTCCCCGTGACAAGCTGCATCGAATGGATACCCATTTTATGCAAAAATATCAACTTTGAAATTTGACCTAATTTGACCTGACCTTGACCTGACCTTCACCAAAACGTGACCTAGGCTGGCCCCAAAGGCTGCCTAACCCACATAATCGCATTTGTCATGTAAAATGGACCATAAAACATGTATCACACGACACATTCATATTGTGACCCCCGGTGACCTGACCTCGCTGTGACCTGACCTGGTGTCAGTGACCTCAGATAGCAAAGTATGTGTTTGACGAACAATATACCATCGATGGTTTTCAATAAATTACCAATTTACTCGATTTCACAGCACATTTCTTGAATTGCCTGTGAACGGTGAAAATCTGACCTTTGACCTGACCTGTGACGTCATCGGTTTGACCTAGGTTAATGAAATTTGGTCACAAGGTAGTTCCCGGGTAGGGCTATCAAACGCCGTTTGAATTTTGAAAATCGGCCGGTAACTTTCCGAGATCTTAGGGGGGGGGGGGCCGAAACGGCCCCCCCCCCCTACGGGTGGTAGGGTCCGCCGGTAGCCCTACGGGGCGCGGGTTAACAATACGACGCAATTAATTGCGGCCTAGTGATGCATGATATCATCATGCTCAAGGACAGACAGTTTCTTATATCGCTATCATTCAATGCATTATTGTTGAGCCGAAAATATCCAACACCGCTAACTAAGAAGTGAACTTCATATAAAAGCTTCACAGTTGTGACAATTGACAAACATGTTTGGTCTTTTTTAAGCACTACATAGAGCGTGGACTGAATAATGCCTTTCTAAAGTTTGAACATCATTCTGGCCATGAACAGTCTCATTATCTCCATAGCTGTTCACCACATGTTATCATTGTTATTTATCAACCGAAAAAACGTCACGAGAGTTAATCATGCAGCTAAGCTGCAGAAACATTTTTTTTACAACGGATAGAGGCCGAGGTCCGGCCTATGAGCCTGGTATGCATCCAGCTCAGCTCCATAAAAATATGCACATTGCGCAAAGCTTATCAAGCTGTTAAGCTGGTTTGGAAGACCGAAAATATCTAACGGTAATACAGATGTATTTGTTCATTGATGTCAAGCCTGTTCATAAAATTTCTTAGAGATGGAATAAACTGACTTTTTAGTAATGAACTTATTTACATGTTTAGCTACATTAGTGAATAAATAAAAAAGGAGCGCGGTTTAGCTGTAGACCTTCGCAAGATGGTGCGACTGTCTAAATTGGCAAAACATAACCCATTGGGTCATGTCACGATATGTGCGTCCTTTCTCAGTTCCTCGGCAGCTGGGTGTTCGGCTCGTGCTGCTGATGCTGATGTCCCTCTCTGCGGTGCACCGGTGCGCTAGCACGTGCCCGGCCAACCACTGCAACAGTGGTGGCATCTGCTTCCGGATCAACCAGGTGAGGCTCCGTGTGCACTGCAATTCAGGTCCCAGGTCCCAATATCAAACGATTAGTGACCGATTAATCATGCTTAGTGCTGCAGTAACTGATCCTTTACTGATGCTAAGAACCGAATAAAATAAATTAGAAAATAACCTCATTTTCATATCATAAATGCATAATTATCGTCATACATTTCTGACCAAGTGTTTCTGATGATCGCAGAGTCTCTGACGGATCTTTTGTCTGCTCAGGTGATGCATCACGACGTGGCCAAGTGTTTCCGGATCGCGTGTCGCTCCTCTGCGATCACCGGCGTGTCGTCAGTGGTCCGAATGGAGGACGTCGGCGACTGCGGACAGTGTGAGTTCAGCTCTGACGAATATAAATTAATTGTTATAGAAAACAAAAGATTTGAACTTTAAAGGCTTTACTTTATTTGTTATCAATGATTAGAAAAAAACATTCTAGCAATGTTTAAAGAAATGTTTTTCAGCAAACGTTCTCATATTTCTAAAGGTTGCGAGTATAATGCCGATATCTACGCCGTGGATGAAGAAGTGTTCTTCGAGGACGACTACTGCACCAGAAGATGTGCGGGGCAGGACGTCTGGTCAGGTGAGGAGTTAAGACTGTTCTGCACGACCCACGTGGTGTCCAAAGCTGAGACGGTTCACCTATGGAGGACGAAATGTCAAGCGATTTTACATTGTAGCGGACAACATAACTACTCGTATTACGAGGATTCGCTGTGACGCTGCTGCTTCGGCTATACAGAGACAGAGATGGGCAGCCGCTGCTACCCTGAGCCAGGCAGGTTTTCCCCTCCTCTCTTATCCCAATTTCTCTTTTGGTCGTAGATATTACAAAGGTAGTGATATCGTGTTCATTGGCCACCGCGCCATGCAACTTGCAAGCAAGAAGAAAAAGGGGAACAAGATAAGTTGAGCGTACATAACTGGATAGAATATTTCTGGGGTCACTGCGTGTCCGATATTTCAATAACAAGAAACAGCGCAGCAGCTCTGCAATAATAGCTCTAAGCTCATTTGAAATAGGAGATTGGGATAAAACTTTTCGTTACCAATCAATGACATCACCTGCACGTAGTTCGCGTTCGATGCTACTAAATGTTACCAAGCATCGACAGTCGCATTCTTTATAATCTGACATCATCGGCAAATATTCCCGTTTGCTCAGTACCTAATTAACGAAAGCTGCGTATTTTAGGATGCATTGACGGGAGCACCACTTCAGCGAGCACCACCACCAGCGAGACTACCACTCCACCCAGCACCAGCACAGCCGGTAACCGATCGGCCCGTCACCAGGGCTAGAGGACGCTCTGGCGACCGACGAGAGACCCCGGCAGCCTCCACTGGCGGCTCGTCAGGACACGTTATTTGTCGGATGAGTCTCCGCCAGTCTCAGGAGGCCATACACTGTAAAAAAAGTTTAGCATTTGGGGTACTAACGGCTGCTATTCGTAGCACCTTTTAGCGTCAAAAGAACCCTACGACGTATTTACAAAGAAGCATGGTGCTAATACTGTGCTAATGATAGCTAACATTCCCATCAAATATTATAAGTTTAGATCACCTATTCTTCTACTGAGCTTAACGTCTACTTCTGCTAGTACCCAGGCCATCAGTGAGTGCTCTTTCAAGCTGGATTTCTAATTAGAACCATTTTAAGTGTTTTAGAAGTTGGTAATGCTGAATAAGGTGCTTACGTTAGTATCACAATAGAACCGGACATGCTTACAGAGGAAACAAATTTGAAATTGGCGCCAAAGAAAGTAGCTAAGCCCTGCTTTACAAATCTCTGGGAGTCTTATCACCAGCCCTTTAGCACGTTTTGACGGCGCAGAGCGATATGCGCATGCGCGTGCCAGCTGTTTCCGGCCACGCGTTGCGCCATTTTAGTGGAGTCCGTTGGTCGTGGTGGGAGTGTGCGCACGTGCTCCGGTATATGAAGTGAAATGAAGTGAAGTGAAGTGCTCCGGGCACATGCCACCGAGTGATAGCTCTGGAATGATAGCTTAAATCAGCTATTATCGGTGGAATCCGTCGTGCGTGGCATGGGAGTGCGTGTCCCTGCTCCGGGAGGCAGTGAGGTGGAGGGAAGTGCAGTGCAGCAGTGCAGTGAAGTGAAGTGAAGTGAAGTGCTCCGGGGCCGGGTGGTACATGAGCATTTGCCACCGACACATGCCACCGACACCGACGTTGATCGACTTTGGTGAGTCTGACACGTTGTATCTTTTGACATTATCTTATATTGTTTAAGTGCTTCATATTCCAACTTTGGCAAATCGCGCTTCTTGGTCTGAAGGAAAGTTGTGTTGTTTGCGAAAATAGCTCCCAACAGAAAAAAAATCTTGGAACTGATCCAGTTTTTTTTTTGCTCCAGGCATGGGGCCTGGTCAGTTCTTCCGTCGACTACCACTTACAATGGAGGACAACTACGACAACAACACGGGGTCTCCGGTTCCGTCTATCACTAAACGCCGTCTGGTCGTGGATGAGGTCGAACTTATGGCCATGAACGGAACGTCGGTTCAACGACCCCCCCCCCCCGCCTCCCCCAGTCGATCTCGCGTTAATCGTCGGTCACTGCGAGTGTGTGCAGGCATATGAGCGACCTTTCGTTATTTCCCGTGCGTTTGTTTGTGTATATATTTACATTTGTTTTTCATGCAGATGATATGAAGTGTTAATAAATGTTCCATTATTATTTTTTAATTTTATAATGTGTTGGATGCTTGAAAGATGCACTTACACGGGAATATTGCAGAATGCAAAACACAATCATTGAGACTTGTAGTTATCACTTATCTAGGATATAACCTTTTTGCACGTCTTTTCGGCCTTACACAATTTCCTTTTTGGTAATTGATTAGTCCTTTTTGCAGTAACTAGTGAAAGTATGTGCTGCTAAAGAAAGCAGTTTTTGCGAACTTTTCATGCAGCAGCTTTAACTAGTATAGATATTCTACTTTCAGCCCCAATGCTTTCGTTAGCATTATTCTACTTGTCGTGGGGTAACAACAGCGCTAAAACGGTTCATATGTGAGTACGGAAGGTACTAACTGCATGCTATTCTTAGCACCTTTTAAAGTTTAGCACCGCTAGGGTACTGAAAATTGGTCTAGCAGGTGTAGGGTACTACATTTAGTACACGGGTGCTAAACAAATATGGGTACTTATATTAGCACCTTGATACTAAACTAGATCTCAGTTAAGTACGAATAAAATGCTTAGCTTAGCACCGCTAGGGTACTGAAAATTAGTCAATTGAAAAGTACCTCTATGGTGCTAAACTTTTTTTACAGTGTATTCGGTAGCGCGTCTGCGACGTACCACCCCTCGAACCACAGACGTGACGGATTATCTGTGCGGAGCCACGCGGATCGGGGAAATGGCCGCCGCTGGGGCCTGGGGTGGGGATGGGGGGCCCTTGGGGGGGGGGGGGGCAGCATTGTCACAAAGCCGACTATGATCCCTCTCAGCACACCGATGAGGGCCAGTTAGGTATGTCACCGAGAACATCCGTTCGTGTGGAGGCGTATTTAATAGTGGATGTAATGAGGCCGGCGATGACGAGGAGGTGGGGTCAGGGTGATGGATTTATTGTCTTCTTTTGGTCCCAGCTTGTGACGACCGCGGCTGCTCGGCTGCGCAGGAGCTACAGGTATGCTTCTAAGAAAAATTCACTGATGAAGTTTTGTGGTTAGATCATGATGGGATTGACCTCGGTTTGGTATTATGTAGCGTTGCTATTATCGATACAACGATGGAAGACAATTGTCGTCATCTATAGATGCATGGCAAGTATTTATATGTTACCGGCAAACCATAAATGCGACATGAACAACAAAAAGTAAATGATAAATGTGGATATCATTCTATGTGTTTTTGGAACATGAGGGACGCTAAATGATAAATATGGGTACGGTTCGGTAAAATTTACTTCCAGTCTAAAAAAATAAGATTTGAAACAGTTGTTGCATCAAGTAGCACAAGCACATAGCTGGAAAACGATCAACCAATAACAGTGAAATGTATTATGCTAGAATGTACATATATTGCATCCGTGTTAAGTTATTCTCACGATGCAGTCAGGGTGTAATGTGTTAAAAATTTAAGTTATAACGCAAGGGCTACTGGGGCGTTCCACGACAAATCGACAAATAAAAAATTAAATTTGCACCCTCATATTTTATTCTTCGTTGAAAACTGGTGTAAGGGGTTGTGATGGGCGGGGAAGCCAGCTGTGGCAAGGATTTTTTTTTCTTCGAACAACGGTTTCCGAGATATAGCCTCGGGCAATTCCTGGAGTTCGCGCTGCAGCCCTATGTTTGGCGGCCTATAACTCAGAAACTATTGGTTTTTTACGATAAAAAACTCTATATGGTTCAACACACAATCAACCAACAAACATTTTGGCTATCTCGGATTTTCAATTTTTGAAAATTTTGATCACGTGACCTTTTGTCCTATTTTTCGAAGAGTGACCTTGATATTTTTTCCCACTGAAAGTTGCAATTTTGTCTGATGACGATTAAAGCCTTATCAATTGTCATTCATATGCGATAATAAAAAAAGTGGTTATCGCCCTGCCTTGACCTCAGGTCAGGTCATTTTTATGACCTGTCCATTATTGCGAGCGGGAGCGACAGCGAGATCTCAAGAATAAAGCAAGATAGCGACAAGCGGTAAACGGTAAAGGGTACACACGGATAAGGTCTATAATTTTTACTGAGGTCATTTTCAGGTCAGGTCAAAGATGACGTCACAGGAGCTAAAAGGAAGTCAAAATAGCGGCACTATACATATATATGAAGTTTTTCTCGAATAACTTTCAAGGCATCCCAGCTAGGAACAAACTAATAGCACCATCGTGATCCTCTCGTTGATCCGCATCGAAACATATGTATGTTGACCTCGAAAGGTCGAAAGGTCAAAAGTTGACCTTTGGTCACGTGATCTAAGGTCAACTTTTGACCTTTCGACCTTTCGAGGTCAACATACATATGTGTCGATGCGGATCGACGAGAGGATCACGATGGTGCTATTAGTTTGTTCCTAGCTGGGATGCCTTGAAAGTTATTCGAGAAAAACTTCATATATGTATAGTGCCGCTATTTTGACTTCCTTTTAGCTCCTGTGACGTCATCTTTGACCTGACCTGAAAATGACCTCAGTAAAAATTATAGACCTTATCCGTGTGTACCCTTTACCGTTTACCGCTTGTTGCTATCTTGCTTAATATTCTCGAGATCTCGCTGTCGCTCCCGCTCGTAATAATGGACAGGTCATAAAAATGACCTGACCTGAGGTCAACGCAGGGCGATAACCACTTTTTTATTATCGCATATGAATGACAATTAATAAGGCTTTAATCGTCATCAGACAAAATTGCAACTTTCAGTGGGGAAAATTATCAAGGTCACTCTTCGAAAAATAGGACAAAAGGTCACGTGATCAAAATTTTCAAAAATTGAAAATCCGAGTTGGCCAAAATGTTTGTTGGTTGATTGTGTGTTGAAACATATAGAGTTTTTATCGTAAAAAACCAATAGTTTCTGAGTTATAGGCCGCCAAACATAGGGCTGCAGCGCGAACTCCAGGAATTGCCCGAGGCTATATCTCGGAAACCGTTGTTCGAATAAAAAAAATCCTTGCCACAGCTGGCTTCCCCGCCCATCACAACCCATTAGACCAATTTTAAAGGGACACTCCCACCTTAACATTAGTTTTGAGTTGAGATAGCCAAATTGGTGGCCATGGCCTGCAAATACCGGTTTGGGCACTCACAACATCGAAAAATGCTTTAATTCGAAGATATGGAATTTCAAACTTGCAGTTTTCGGATTCTAAGGGGCTAATGCATTGGAATGCCCCCTTAGAATTTGTGACGTCAGCGGAGATCTAACGATTTTTAAATCTTAGACTAAAACCATCGTTAACACGTGGTGGTATACGCTGCTTTGCGCGCAACGTCTGCCGCACTTTAAGGCTGCCAAATTATTGCTTCCAAATAAAGTCGCTAGTAACAGGGGAGATCCCAAAAAGTAAACAAAAGTAAAAGCCTAATATCTTGAAAACCAGTGAATATTTTTCGGTGAAATTTGGTAGATATTCGTTTTCGCTCTTTCTGAACCAAGGGACATCACTTTCATGCCAATTCATTAACTTTTTTGAAGGTGGGAGGGTCCCTTTAAGCAAAAAATGAAATATGAGGGTGCAGGGCACTTGTCGATTTGTCGTGGAACTATACAATCGACCTGATCTGTTAAGAATGAAACAAAGATTGAACTTAATTTTTCTTTCTTTCAAAACTTAACCCGCGCCCCACTGGGGGGGGGAGGCTATTCATAGCCCCCCTCCCGTTTTTCTGCAATAACTTCTAAACCGCTTGACGTATCGCCGCCAAACTTTCAGTATCTTCGGCTGCGAATCAATTTGACACCTTGTGTCAAAATTTGAACTTCGTATCTATCATAGGTCGGCCGGAAATGACGTCAGAGTGACGTCATGTTCGGCCGATTTCGACGCAAAACGTTGAACCACGGGAATCGCTCCCAAGAGCTCAGTTTTTGAGCTAGATCCAATTTCTTAGCATGAGAGGACTTAGAATGGACTGCGCTATCAAACTGCCATATAGATTTAAATTCACAATTTGTATTTTTATCTCTTTTTCAAAAACCATTTGACTTTTCGAAAAAACGGAATATATATGAGAGCACATGTTTATGACTTACTCTAGCAAGTTTTAGCCAGATATCTTCAAAAATAGGCAGCCAAGTTATACGCATTATAGCAAAAATTTCACAATTCTTAAGTTATCAAATCAACTTTTCTGCACGAATTTGACATCGTACACCAATATAAATAGCACCATCGTGTTCCTGAGCTCAAACTGCATCCGATAGACATGTTTTTTTTTTGTTGAAAAATTTCGACTTTAAAATTTGACCTTTTTTGACCTGAAAGTTTAAGTGACCTGACCTCAGCTATTTTCAGATGAAAATGGCCTCAAATGACACAGGCGACACCGAATTCGAAACCTATGGCCTAAATGGACCATAAAACATGTGTCACTTGACCGACTTATGACAAGATTTCCGTGACCTATGATAACCTGAACCTGACCTGAAAATCAAAGTACAAGTTTCGTACCCTCAGGGTATCTAAAGCATCTGTTTAAGAGTGTGAAAACCAAAAATCAGCCTGATCTGACCTGTAAGACGGCAGCCAGAGCCCAAAAAGTGAACAAGCAAAATATCGATAATTTTTACTTTGACCTGACCTGTGACGTCATCGCTGACCTCGAGGTCAATGAAATTAGGTTTCGTTCCGCGTTCGACAGTTTTTTTCCGGGGCTATCAGATGCCGTTTGAGTTTTGACGATCGGCCCAGTAGTTTCGGAGTTAGGAGTGGGGGGGGGGGGGGGGCTATGAATAGCCCTCCCCCAGTGCCCGGGGCGTGTTATACACAGAACCCAGTGGGGCGCGGGTTAAGACTGACAAGTGTGACAACGTTGACTTCAGATTACTTTATAGACTTAAAACGTAAGACTTTTATGAGTTTATGATGTTTTGTGCTGGAATGGAAGCCTTACGTCTCTTTAGATTCTGATATCTACCTTATATATTACGAGCAGACGAGAGGAAAACAGTCCTTAAATTGTCACTTGGCATGGGGTTCAGCGTAGTGTTCAATGTGTTCAATGCACAAATACATGGTGCTGTGCCTATACATATATGTAGGATTCATCAATCCAATATTCAAACTTTTATGAGAAATTTACTTATTTAGGAGACAAAACTCGTCTGCGACCTGCGCAACTGATAAAACTATACGTGCAGATGACAAATTGTTCATAATGTCGTATGCACCCGTATTTGGCTCAGTATAGTTTTTAAGGCTTAGTTCAGCATCATGCACAAGAAGTCATTGCAACGCAAAAATATCAAAACATGCTATCTTTATGTAAGTCAAACTGAGTGGATCGATCTATAATGCTTTAGGTTCGGTCCTCCATTGTTTACATTTGTTGCCTGTCAAGAGTATACGCTTCAGATCCATTCGTCAGCTTCATTTCATTCGTGAATTTCAACTCGGAGCAAATACAATTCGAAGTTTGCAATCTAATTTTGAATTTCAAATGAAACGACATGTGGAAATCTTTTCGAAGGCTGTTCGAAACGGAAGTGAAAGCGCAAAGACCGCTGCAGTCTTCTCATTACCATCTCACGCACAGGCCGCGAATACAAAATGGAGACGGAGAACTTCATTGTCCTAGAAAGGCGCAGATCGAGCGAAAGAGTAGCGAGGAGCCCGGGGCTGCTCGGTGCCCACTCTCCTCATTCATCTTGTGACATCACTGCAGTACGAGGACTCGCAGTCAGACATACGGTTCGAGGTTTGAACAAAGAGCAAACTTGCAGGTAATGCCTACCTACCGCTCCCGCGCACCGACGGGGGTCTGCGCCAACTTCGCACCGACGGGGGGGGGGGCGGATGACCGCCCCCCTGAGATCTCGAGAACGAAGCAAGATAGCGACAAGCGGTAAACGGCATCGGATACGCACGGCCAAGATCTACAATTTTTACTAAGGTCATTTTCAGGTCAGGTCAAAGATGACGTCACAGGGGTCGAAAAAGTCAAAATGGCGGCACTAGATATGGAGAGCGAATTAGTCAAGATAGGAACAAACTAAGGGCATCATCGTGATCCTCTCGTCAATCCGCATCGAATGATATATATGTTGACCTCGAAAGGTCAAGGTCAAAGGTTGACCTCAGGTCACGTGACCTCGAGGTCATCATGTATATCATTCGATGCGTCTTGACCAGCTGAACACAATGAGACCATCCACGCGTCTGTATCTTGTTCCTGTACGGAGTTATTGGCCAAAAACCTTTGTTGACCTTTGATGACGTCACATGACCTCACAGCTGCCCAACAGCAAAACAGACCTCAAGGTAGTGAAGGTTGATCGTATATGAAGTCATGTATGGTATATGGGGCCATTCCGACCCGTTTTAGTGGTAAAAACAGGGAGTTAATTTTTCCCCCATTGACTTATAATGGGGAGGTCGCGAAATTGACCTGACCTTAGGTCACCGATATCAAAATTCCGAGATATACAAATTGTAGCTACTAATGACCTAATAATATCCTGCGACTTTCAAAGGCCTCCGACATCTACTGTAGCTCTGGCACGGTGACAAAGTTGCAAAAAAGTGACTTGAGGTTGGGTCATTCAAAGTGACCTGGTGACCTGACCTTAAAAGGTAGGAGGTTCAAACTTGCACACCATGTGTAAAATTGATGAGGTTATAGTCATACCAAATTTCGCGGCGCGTAGCGCCGCGGTTTTCCCGCTATTCGCGAAAAACCTCAGGGGGGGGGGGGCGGATATCCGCCCCCCGTCGGTGCGAGGGTTAATACCTCCGTTTAATATTGTCAATTTGTGAATGCTATGATGCATGCACAAAACAGAGTCATCTATCTGGAATCCATAAAAATATCCGGAAATATTGTAGTAGCCGTGCCAGCATTCAGAGCACGAGTGTTCATTGACCGTAAAACCGAATGATAGCTGCTACAGGCGCACACAAATAAGGCAATCGACAAAAATGAGTGACATTTCCAGCCACCCACGCAATGTAGCGAAGACGTTTTACTGAACGTTCTAAATTTATGTCTTGATGTACTGAGTACGCCGAAATGCAGGCAATGTGCCACCCCTCCACGGCCGGTCAGGTCTACAAAATGTCATGGTTCAGCCAGAAGCGGTGAGGCTGGTCCTGCTATGTTCCGAGTGGAAATCCCCCGGTTCACGGTCAGGCCAAGTTAGTTCGGTGTCCAGGTTAACCCGCGCGGGGCTGGGGTCTCCAGCCGAACGCGCGGGGCTGGGGGGGGGGGTAAATTTTACCCCCCCTGTTATCTCCCGAACTAATGGTCCGATTTGGAAAATTCAAACGCCAATCGAAAGCTCTCATCACGAACTACTAAAAACATGTACTTATTTTAAAGTTTGAGGTCAAGGTCAAGGTCAGGTCAAGGGTACAAATTGCAAGTTTCTACAGTATCGGCCTTGCACCGTAGTTGACGAAGAATGGAGTCATGGACTGAGACTGATCGCCCAAAACGTGTTCTTAGGCTACCAAGACAATATTCGTTGCATACAATATCATTCAGAGGTCAAGGTCAAGGTCAGGTCAGGTCAGGTCAGGTCACCAAAAAACAAAATATAGAAAAGGGCATGTGCGACACATGTTTTATGGGTCATTTTACTCATAGAATTCAATAGGCACACTCAATAAGTGATATGGACCACCTCTGGATGAATTTCAGGTCGAGGTCAGGTCAAGGTCAGGTCAAGTGAGGTCAAATTTTGAAGTTGGTTGTTAAGGCCTAAAAAGGTGTCTATCTGATGCAGTTTTTCACGGCAAATCGAATGGTGCTATTTTCGTTTCCGTACGAGGTCTAGAACTTCCAAAAAAGTCATTTTTCAAAAAATTTGTGTGTCGTGACGTCATAAAATTTTGAATAACTCCCACATTTTTGAACCGATTCTTCTAAAATTTGGTATGTAGGTGCACATAGACCACTTCTCTGACATATATTCCGGTTTTTTCGATATACTCAAAATTTTGGATTTTATAATGATTTTCCCAAAAAAATCAGTTTTTTGAAAAAATTTAGGCCAAAATCCAAAATTTTCAAAAAACCGAGATAGCCATTTGATAGACAAAGTAAAATTACGTATAACCTTTTTTGTTACGTCTTGATTCCTTTAAAAATGAAGATGTTAGCGGCGTTTGAACTTTTGCCGTTTTTGAGGCGAAAATGGCGAACATGACGTCACTAAAACGTCAATTTCTCAAAAATTTTCCGACGGATTTCGCTCAAATTTTCAGGGAACGTGTCAAATTGATGTAAGAAAAGGTACTGAAAGTTTGGCGGCGCTGCGCGCCGCCGTTTTTGAGATATCGCAAAAATTCGCGAGGGGGGGTAAAATTTACCCCCCCAGCCCCGCGCGGGTTAACTAAAGTGCATGTTTGTAAATTGGTTCTCCGGCTGGAGTATATCGTCCCGAACAGCGCGATGACACCCCTCTCCGTTCCCCGACAGGAACTGGTGCCGTCGCCAGCCGGGCTACCTCGGCGGAGTGTACCCTGGCTACGGCCGTCAGCGTATCCAGTACTACTGCTGCGACCACTCGGGACCGGTGGTCGTACCGCGGCCTTAAGTAGCCGCTAGCACCGTCATCCTATGGGAGAATGATTGTGCACTGTGCACTGGTCAGGGTCGCCTTAGTCATGATAAGTACAGATGCGCAGTTCGTGTTCTTGATTTATTGGGTAACTCTAAGCTCATTATCAGATTATCTGCATAACCTCAATCAAATAGGTGGTAGGCCAAACCGTGACTTTTCTTTGGAAAAGTTCCAGCGTTATTTGGCTGATGTAATATGTAAACGTCACTTGTAGTTGTTTTGGAGTATTTGCAGCTTTATATCCAATTAAATTAGCAAAAAGAGTGCTTCAAGCCTAAGACATTTGAAGGGACCTTGCTCCATATATTTAGCAGTTATTAGAAGATTGTTGTTTAATCACCCCGCGTAAAAAAAAAAAAACAACAGCTGCCGTCTCTGGAAGTCACCACTCGCGCTGGAGCGTCCGGATCGTTAAAAGGCAGCTCAGCACAGAAGCTCTCACAGACAGCCATTTTGCACAGGCACTGACATTACATGTCTGCATGGAATCGGCTGATGACGTGATGACCATCTGCCATAAGCCGTTCATCAGCTCCCGTGGACTATAATCATCACATCCGTGTACCTCATGACTTCTTGCCGCTGATTCTCAGTTCTAATCAGGCACCCGGGACGACTTCTGCATCTGTGGCCTTCACGTTGGTCAAAAAGGCGCACCCATAACGTGGCTGGACAAACGTGGGACATGAGCACAAGACAAGGTTTAATGAGTACAGAGTATCGGAACCGGTCTTACACCCTTACAGGCTTTAATCAGGCCACCAAGACGAGGACTTCGGCGCGACATAGCTGCGGCTTTTATCCGTCCTGTTTCTTTAGACGTTCTTCGAAGCTCTTACCGCAAGACGCAGCGCTATGCGCTTCTGGAATTTACTGCTTACATCGTGTGACTTGCAACTCTTTGAAGTTATAAGCTTTTACGTGTGTTAACCGTGAATGCAGGTGGTATCAAGGACAAAACGGACACGGAGACGACCTGATGTGAAATGTCTTGGCTCTTCGCTCCAGCACCGTGAATTTGCTCTAAATACGATGTAAACGGCAGCTAGAAGAAATAAATGTGTATTTGAACAGCTTTGGTGCTGTGAAGATAGGGGAGTTCAAACAAATGTCTAGAACACGTTGATGTATAAAAACAAAATTATAGGTAAGCATAGGTAGATAAACAGACATCCGTTCAGTTTATGCCAAATAAAATGAAGGATTACCAAAAGCACAATCATATTTCTGGTCATTTTCGGCAATGTCCGATCATTGCTAAAGACATATCATCAAAGGACAGTATTTTGCGGTGTTCGACGTCAACAACTTGTGACATCATCAGCCTTCGATGACGCCATCAGTGACTGGTAGCCGAGACACACTGGGAGTGCCGCCGTCCGTGGTTGGTGGTGGCCGCGCGCTCAGGCCTTGATGAGCCAGATCTCGTTGCGGCGCCCCTCGCGCTGGGCCGGGTCGGAGAACATGGCCGAGATGACGGTGCTCTGGAAGGCGCGCTCGGCCTCGGTGAGGTGACGCTGCAGCGTGCCCGCCTGCTCGGCCCAGTCCTTGCGCTGCGCCACGCCGCCGAAGCGGCGCACGTAGACGGCCGTCTGCGGCACGGCCACCAGACGGATGTTATCCGTCAGCGGCGCCGGCAGACTGGCCTGGTGCGAGGCCGGCAGCGGCGCGCACATGGCTGCACCACCCCCGGCGCGACGCTGCATCATCACCGGAATGGTGAGCTGCATCAGCTCGCCGGCGGCGTTCTCACCCTGCATGTACATGGCCAGCTCGAGGAAGTCCATCATGTGGTCACCTTCGGACTTCACCTCGATGCACACCCAGTTCCAGGCCGGGTAGATGCGCTCCTGAAGAGGGATGACAGCGATCGTGAGCAGCGGAACGACGGGATCATGTCATTAGTGTACCGACACATGACAGGTAGCTGTTGGTAGCATGCCGGAGGGTGTGTCGACCGTGATGGCTGACTTACACACAACCAAAGGGGTATGGACATTCTTAACTTCAGTTAAACGCAATGCAAGTGCTGAGTTGGAAGCAAGTTACCAATGAAACAGCGGGCGAGTTACACAGAAAATGTTAACATACTTTACAGCACCTTACCTCAAATTTATCGTTCTTCTCGACCAGGGTGTAGGAGACCTCCTCGCGTGCCGGGGGCTTGGCGCCGCCAGGGGTGCCAAAGTTCTTCTTGAAGAACTCGGCCAGCCGGGGCGGCATCTTGGAGAGGTCCCCTGGCTTGGCCAGGGCCCCACAGACCACCAGCAGGAGAACGGGCAGCAGCTTCATGACTAGGAGGGTGAATGAAGTCCGAGTTCAATAGTAAAAGACATATTACATACGTTAGTACATTTACATAAGCTTGTTGATTGTTGGGCTTAGTGTAGGGCAAGTCGGTTTAACTTATCCTTAGCAGGCGAGGACATTGAGAAATGCTTAGCTGAATCCTCAACACTAAAGTGAAACATTACCATCGAAACGATTGCGTCGATACGATCTTGGAACTTTTGTGCTGCATACAGAGCATGAGCACGACACAGCCATAAATTATTCTCGAGCCATAGGCGGCGGAACGATTTGAGACAAGGGGGGGCACCAGCTCAAGGAGCCAAACCTAGGGTACCCCCAAATCCTGTTTTCTCATCGGATTTAGGCCACTTATTTTTCGTCACAGCCCTGACACGATAATTTTTTTATTTTTTAGTTTTTTTTTTTACTAAACGAAAATGGCAGTTCACTCCCGTATGTATGGTTAACTTTAAGCTGATCCTCAAGTACCTATGTGTTTGTCTCTTCCTTATTGTCGTTTGATAAATTCCATTTATCCTACATGTATCAAATTCCCAAGAAGCCATCGCAGTACTAATCAGTGGCGAATCCCAGAGGGAGGTCACATAGGTCATGACTTAGGGCCTGGGGTCACCACATGCCTGCCAGGAGCACCACAGGCCTGACAGCCGACAGGGGCACCACAGGCCCGCCAGGGGTACCACAGCCCTAGCAGGGGCACCACGGGCCTGTCAGTGGCACCACAGGCCTGTCAGGACTCAGGAGCACCAGCGGCCTAGCAAAAGCACTACAGGTCTTCCAGGGGCACCACAGACCTGCCAGGGGCACCAGAGGCCTGCCAGGGGCACTATCGGCTTCGCAGGGGAATCACCGGCCTCGCCAGGGCACCACAAGCCTGTCGTTGGCAATATAGGAAGTCCTCTCCGTGGCCGAGTGGATAAAAGCGCCGGAGTTCGACGCTTAGCCGGAAATGAGAGCTGGTTCAAGGCCCGGTGCGGGCGGCCACATTTAGCTCATACGTGTAATGGCGTGCGTGTCTGTGGCAGGGGCCGCACAGAAGCTAGGTAACGTGAGTGAGCGGAGGGGACCGTGTCCAGTCGTAAGGGCACGTTAAACGTTCGGACAAAATTCTGCCATACAACTGGAATTGCGCGATCGGGTGGTGGGGTCAGGGTCAGCACAACAAGCTATGCTTAGTGCGGGCTCTGATTCCTCAAATCCACCCATTCGGACTAAATTTATAAAAAAAGGATTGTCAGGGGCACCACAAACCTGTCAAGGGCACCTGCCTTCTAACAGGGGCACCACAGACTCGCCAGGGGCACCACAGACCTACCAAGGCCCAGGGACACCACAGGCCTGTCAGGGGCACCACGGGCCTGTTAGGGCCCATGGGCACCTAAATCATGTCAGGGCCCACCGTAGGCTTGTCAGGGGCAGGGTAGGTAGGTACCACAGTCTTAGGGGCACCAGCGGCCTAGCAGGGGCACCAGTCATCACATGACTAACCAAACATAAAGAAAGAAAAAACTGAAAATAGGGCACCACCAAAATTAAGTGGCCGAAATCCGTTGAGGTTTTAATTTTGGGTATAGGTAGGAGCACCACTTCGATTCATGACCCTCCCCTTGGAGTTTTCCCGAATCCGCCCCTGGTACTAATACATCAAATTTAAGGGGGGGCACCTTGCTATTGGTGCCCCCCTTGCAGAATTCAAGGGGGGGCACGGTGCCCCGGTGCCCCCCCCCCGTTCCGCCGCCTATGTTCTCGACACATTACGAAAGCAGACATCCAATGAGAAATAATATTTCTTTGCCTCACTGAAATCCGACAAAGAAGCACATTATCATTGCCTACGCAGTCAAAACTTAACAAGTCAGCCATGGTCCCTCGAACATTAGATTTATCGCGATGCCATTGCTGCATCGAAAATCAACATATGTCCATCCTGCAACATGGAAAACAAGTTTTGGTATAACTATTCTATTTGCGTCGGTTTGCGGGTTTTTTGGGGTGCAGTTAGTTTTTTACATCTTAGTTTTTGTTTAGGCGTTTTTAGACGTTTTTCGGCGCACTGTTGTTGAAGTTATACAGGCCTATTTTACAGCTATTTTCGACTAGCAAAACTGCTGCAATTTTCAGAACATTCTTTTGCATATTGACATTTTGATGGAATTGGAATGCATTAAAAGATGTTTATTCTTTAATCTTGAATGCCAATATAATTACAAGGAGAATTGAGCGACTCTCGTATCGAAATATTACGAATCAATGAAAATAACAGTTCTCTATATTCCGTGGATAACAGTAACCGGCAGAAAATAGGTAGTTACCGCGATTGTATAACATAATACTGGATATTCCGCGTAAAATTGACAGGAATATCACAAGAATAATAGTTTAAACAAATATTGAAATAACTGAAAGCTCATAATACCCACTAACTAGCTAACGCTAGGTGGTCAGCTAACGCTTTTTTCAAACATTAAATGCTTACAATACCATCTGAAAATAATGAACTTGAACCTCGAAAAGCGAGTTCTCCGGTTTCAGTCTCAGCTTGTGAGGTACTTGGATACATTCATTATCAGTGAATCAAATAAAAATTGTCCGGGACATCATACTGTGATTATATGAACCAGTTAATATGTATAAAATCTAGTCATTGGCCAAACGTAACGGCCACTGATCGTAGGTTGACGACCCCGAAATTTAGCGAAATGAAGTGTAGGTTCAAGCAGTTTAAATAATGCTGGTGGGTTGGCTTGAATAGTGATGTAAATGTGGTCACAGCCTACAAACACTATAACAAATATCGATTGCGCTTCGCTCAACCAGAGCCATGTTCGTTCTTGCTCATGAAACCATACATCCCCATGAAATGAAAAGTCTGAACGAATGCATTCAGGTGAAATCACCTTACCTCTGAATCACCTTATATTGAGATCCGTTTCTTAACAGTAACACAAACGCGGCCCATCAATTTGTCAGTAAAGGCAACAGCTTCTGACAACGCATCAAATGGCCAACTCTTGACACTATCTACTAATACGATAACGGCAATAAAATTACATTGCAAAATGCAAATAAAATTGCACAATTTTCAAGCGCAGCTTGAAACCAAGTGCGACCAGTTAGTGTCATTTTCACAACCAAGTGCGACCAGTTAGTGTCATTTTCACAACCAAGTGCGACCAGTTAGTGTCTCGACTCTCGAGACACATTCCAACTGCATAGGTACCGCAGTAACCCATTAGGAGCGAAAGGAAACACATGACTAGTGTAGGACCAGCGTTCTGTCAGCGTACGACGCATAAAGCAAACTGCTCAAACAACTACGATCCCGAACAACACAACACAGAGCTCAGAAACGAATGGTTTACAAAAGTCTACGACTGACGACATCGAAACAGTACGTTCATCGGGACTAGTCACATGACTCGTTCAACCCAGCTGGGTTATGGGTACTAATTGCGCTTCAAATTGACCTCTGACAGCCATTTACGCTAGTTTGATGTATAAAACTGTAGGTACATTGAAACTCAAGCGGCAGCACATAGATCTCCATCAAGGTGGTTATATACAACAGAGCACCTCGCTAAAACGAGCGCGAGCCGCACTGTCACACTGACAGTTAACACTGAGCCGCGAGTCGTATGCACATATGCACGCAGATGTCGCACTCACGGCACCGTTGCAGGCACTGCGCTGCGGTTGGACACGCGCGGTGCAGTAACTAGCTCCACGGTGTGCGGCTCACCGGAGGGATTACCAGTCTCCGACCGGACACTGGACAGTCCAGGCGGGAATTAGTGCGGTGTCTTCAATCATGACCGCCGTCCCCGTCTCCGCGGAGTGCCGCACGGCGGCGACGCGGCGGCGTCGGATCTTGAGCTGGTGGACACTGGACTCTTGCCACAGCTGCCAGCTTCAGCCCTTCAGCATCGTGTCATCAGCAAACTCCAGCAGAGCCCCAATGCAACTGGGAAAATAAAATTTATGCTGTTAAGCCAAATCATTCAAAACATTTCCTTGCACAGGATTCTCTTTGGCAGTTCAGCAAAATCTTCTGTGATATCCATGGCCGTGACCGTGACTTGTGAGGTGAATTATTAGGTGAAAGTTACTAAGAAGCAGTTTTATTTTTAGAAAACAGCTTCAATCCATGTTTGCCTGATTCCAAATTCAAGGCAACATCTCATAGTTTTGACAGCATGAAATTTCATATGAAACCATATTGAGGTTACAATTTCCATAATCTTGTCACAAACAGTGTACTTTAATATGGATAACTAACACCAAATCATCCAACCTTGTATCTTTATCTGGTGAAACTCAAGAAACCAATAAAGCAAACAATTTCTGAGCAAAAAAAAAAATTAGGTATTTGACAAGCTGCACTATACTGCTATGCAGCCTAATGCTCAAGTTGATTACAGATTTACTTTGTAGATATGAAACTTTCTCGGAATTCAACTTTCTCGAAGATTTACTTTTCAAATAGAAATTTGGTAGTTCAATATATAATGAAATACCCAGCTCAATAGAGGCAATTATGACAATGACAGCATGTAAGCAAAGTAAAAATAAAATTTATGATTTCTTCTACAGAAAAAAAAACAATTGTACCCACTCAACTTAATTTTACTCTATCACTTATTTGAATCATCAGTCATCACCAGACTTGCACAAAACTTTCTAGATTTTATGCCACAAAAATAAACAAAGTATCTCAAATTCAAATTGCGCAATCTAAGCACCAGCCACTGGAGTGGTATATGGGGTCTCGTAACTTGAACGTTCAGTCTGTAAGAGCATGCCTGACTTGAATTAACAGCTTTGAGGCATCACCTTTGCAGCAGTTCCTCCTATTCTTTTTTAACATACACTTTAACTATCATTACCATGCTATGATGATGAGGTGGCTGGTTTCGGGTAGCTGGAGGTGGCTGGTTTGACAAGTAGCAGCCCTTCTTTCATTCTATTTCTTAGTTTTCACATGCTGCACAAAATGTTTTTTCTTCCACGGTCCTTCTGTCATTATAAAAAAAAAAATCATAGGTATCATTAATCATTATTGCTTCACTTCTTCATTATATTCCAAGTATTGCTGCCGCAATTCATCACATCTCCCGTTCGTAAACCGGCATTGCCCTATGCCCGCTAAAGTAAATAAGTGGAATGCGCCAGAAATCGTCAAAAACGCGCCAAAATAGCAAACTAAGATGTGAAAAAATAACCGCACCCGTTTTTTGAAGTGCTCAGTTTTTGCAGCGAGCTTTTTCTCTTAAAGGGACCCTCCCACCTTCAAAAAAGTTAATGAATTGGCATAAAAGTGATGTAGCGTGAATCACAAAGAGCGAAAATGAACATCTACCAAATTTTACCGGAAAATATTCACCCGTTTTCGAGATATAAGACTTTTATTTTTGTTTACTTTTTGGGAAATCCGCTGTTTCTATGACGTCACATAAAGGTTTTCTTTACGTCGGCATTTGGAAGCAATAGTTTGGTATCAAAGTGCGACAAATATTGCGCGAATGATGCGTTTATCTTATCAAGGTCAATATATGATGGCCAATAAAGGATTCCAGGACAATTCTTATGGTATTTCTTCGTATCGCAATTCTTCGTCTGCAAATCTTCGTCAGGGCATTTATTCGTACCTATCGCATTACTTTGTCTCGCACCAGGGTATATGTAAATCGGCTCGCATTTCTTCTTCAACGCAAATATATGCAAGAGTAAGCATTGAGGGACAAATAAATGCACCGACGAATATTTGTAGACGAAGAAATGCGGACGAAAAATTGTGCTACGAAGAAATGTCATGCGAGGATTCGTTCGGGTACCATGACATTTATGTGATTTCAAAGTCAAGGTTCACAGCTGATCTGCTAAATCAAGCCAAGAATCCAAACTATCAAAAAACTATAAATATTTGTTTGTCTGTCACAGAGGTCTCAAGCAATATTAGGTTGACATATGTTGAATCAAAAATCTACTGCCACAACTCACACCTCCTGCCTTAGTTTATCATTGTTGTTTTAACTTGCTTTCAAGAGAAACAGAAGCCAGTATCTGATATCACTTCAGATGATTGTTTCAAGATCTGAGTTCAAATGGAAATAAAAGCAAGATCAAGATGAAACAGGGATTATTGCTGTTAAAGTAGTTTGGCCATGATACAACAAGCACATAAATCATTAGCCAAATCAAATACTGGTTGGTTTGTCAAGATGTTTGTTGTCTGTCGTCTGTCGAGCTGCTATGAACACTGAACGCTCTCACTCTTACTTTAAAGAGAGTAGTTTAAGTTGAATGGTAGTGAGCTGTAATTAGACAAAGCAGCTATTCAGTGCTCACATCAAGCCAAGCTAGGAAATGGCATCAACTGTGGTGGGAGGAAGCAGGTTCGGGAGCCCTATGTTGTAAACTTCTGTTATGTCTTGTGTTTGATCAACTGATGTTTTCTGCTCTGTTTTGTGCAGTGATAGTAGCAGGTAACTGCATGCTTGTCAAATTATGTGAATAAACGAATTCATAACATTGCATTTTTCTCTCCATGCAAGGAACAAGTAAGATGTTGTAGAAAATGTAATAGAGGCTGCATTGCTGATTTTGCACTTTATCAGAGCTTTATTTAGAATTGCTTTCCTGAAAGCTACACACAGGCCACAGTGCTGAAATTCACAATGTCATAGCTTTTGGCAGAAAAAAGAAAAGACTTACCTAGGTAAAATTGGCTGAAAGTATGGCAGAGCAGGTCTTGATGCGTATGCCCATCCGTGTGCTTGCCGAAGCCGAACTGACTGCAACACATTTAACTCTGACCCACCATGGTGGCTGGCATATCCTGAACTTTCACCACTCTAAACAAGACAACTTTCAGCCCTCAGCATTGTATTAAAACACTGTACAAAACACTCAAAATTTGTTTCAGTGCCATCCACGGACAACATCAGTCGCCATTCACCAGGCCAGTAAAAACAGAATAGATAATAGCTTCAAACCCATGTAGTCAGAGTTACTAGGTCTGCACCTCAAAACAAAATCCAGGTGACATTCACCACGCCAGTAAAAAACAGGTACTTAGGTAACGTAACAGCTTCAAATCTGGTAACATGTTGGTCAGACTTTACACTACCATATTTACATGGAGTAATATGATACCAAACAATAGTGCAACCATTCTGGACAACAAAAGTGTATGATAAAATTAATTTAGAATACTCTGGCAGCATGATTTACGAGCACAGGCAGGTGTTACCTACCAGCCTTCTCAATGCTCGTAAAACCAACATTGTAGTTTTGATTTTACCTTACATGATAACACACTTGGCTGCAATGGCACATTTAATTTAATACTGTGAAAAGACCAGTTATAACCACTTCACAAGCACAATTACACCTCATGCCGACATCCTTTTCCAAAGACAGTCAGCAGCGTCTTTCGTCAAAACTGGAAGATAAATCCCCTTTCAACTGTTAACATCAAAAATATTTCTTCATGGTGTGACTGTGATCTCCATATGGAAACCTTGCAGGAAAATTATTAATGTCAATTGTCAGCTCTTCAAATTTCTTTGGACTTTAACTTGCAGTACCATATCCAGTTTGCTTTGATATTTTGTTTTTTATTCCATGTTGAAGTTGAACACCAAGCTCCAGATATAGCAGGCAGCTTGATCATCTTCGGCCTTGGTATAATATCAGTCCAAGTTCCAGTGGTGGGTATCTTCTAATATTCAAATTAAAATGAAAAGCAATAGGCTTTCTCAGCGCCGACGACGGATTTCACGTTGATAAAAAAGGGAGCTCAAGGTCAGCAAAACTCGGGTTCAAGGAATGGCGGGCGTTGAAATGACTGCTGACGTCATCAAAAAACCGCTAATGGTTAAGAGATAGGGACTAAGCTGGTCCCACCCTGCAAGTAAAGGGAAGAAATTTCTTGAACACCATAAAGCTACGGGGGTTGCGACCAGGATAAATGGTGGTTTCTGAGCCTGGCCGCAAACTTGGCTATCTCAACTCAAAACTAATGTTAAGGTGGGATGGTCCCTTTAAGCGTGGGTACCTCCGTTCTAAAGATTCTGATCGGCGCCGATTGAAATAATTCGCCGTGCATATCTTGGCTTATTGACGACCGATTGACACGGGACAAACACCGATCGATACCATATGGCTGTGGGGGGAGAGGGGGGGGGGGGGTCACAGGAGTAGAGTGGCAAGTTTTCCTACCCGACGAACCCGGAATTATCCCAAAGGAAGTTTTCCTACCCGACCAACCCGGAATTATCCCAAAGGATAATTCTGAAGAATGGCAAGTTTTTTTTATACCGAGGGGCGTCGGGAGTAGAGTCGGGTGGGGAGCTGGGGGGGGGGGGGGGTGCTGTGTGTGGGGGGGGGGCGGGAGAAGAGTTGCAAGTTTTCCTACCCGACAAACTTGGAAATATCCCGGTGGGGGGGGGGGGGGCGGGAGTAGAGTCGGGTGTGGAACTGGGGGGGGGGGGGGGAGTAGAGTGGCAAGTTTTCCTACCCGACGAACCCGGAATTATGCCGAAGGTGGAGCGGGGGGAGAGTGGCAAGTTTCCCTACACGACAAACCCGGAATTATCCCAAAGGGGGGAATAGAGTGGCAAATTTTGTAAGTACCGACTACTTTTGCAAGTACCAAGCAAGTACCAAGACTATTATAAGTACCAAACAAGTACCAAGTACTTTTGCAAATACCAAGCAAGTACCAAGTACTTATGCAAATACCAAGCAAGTACCAAGTACTTTGGCAAGTACCGAGTACTTTTGCAAGTACCAAGCAAGTACCAAGTACTTTTGCAAGTTCAGCAAGTTTTCGCGAATATCGAAGCTTCTAGACGTCCGATCATCACGGGACGAACACCAATCGGTCCCAAATTTTCTCCTTAATTATTTTATGGCCAACGCGACGCGTAGCGAGCCAAGATATCTTGTATTTTGCCTACAAGAGGGACGTCAGCTAGGGCGAAGGTGTTGCACCATGCACCACGACAGCCAGCACTGCTGGAACTCACCTGAGACGTCCGGTACAACTTCTGCTCGACACTGAACAGGAGCCGATTTATAAAGGAGGGCGCACCGGAAGAGTAAGACGGTGTTCTTCACAGCCGGGTGCCTGCACAATGTCTAAAAAGGTGTAGAATAATTGGATGAACCGCGCACAAATTGTGCTTCCGAGTGGTTAAGTTTACCGGGTCACTGAAGTAAAGATCCTGATTGTTTAGCGATATCGGGGGCATTTCGTACACTTTAACACTAACACCCATAATGCTGAGTGCTGACGCTCAAAATCAGTCATAAGTGGAAATTCATGATCTTTTTTTCAACTGATGAATCAATCATAAAGCATTATACTCATCATAACTTACCACAGTGATCAATCACAATCATTAGCGACAATTTCTGTTTTCGTTAGCTTTGTGTTCGCCAAGATAATACTGCCAGTGTCCGATCAGTCGTGCGGTATTTGATAAGATGCAATAGCGCCCCACTCTGCTATGTCAAAGCCGGCAACCTTGATCTTCATTGCATTTTCTCTCGTGACATTCGCCCACAATAAGGTAATTATCTGTAATGAGCATCGTCCGTTTCATTTAACAGTAGGTAGGAAATTTCTATTTATAGGTAGGCAAGAAAAAATTAACGTAAGAAGATAGCCAAGTAAATCCCTTGCCGTGAGTTTCCCTTTCTTCCAACGAAGAAAAAAACTAGCACCGTCCCACCCAGTCCCAGGTATTGATGTATCGATAGTTTTATCCATCATTGCTGTGGTAAAGACAATCCATGGCCTTGAGTAAACAGGACCTGAGGGGTACACCTTCCACAGTTGCATCGAGCATAATTTATTGATCATTATTCCGTCGGTGCTGTCAACAGTCCGTCAGCATCGAGCCGATTTGTCGGGGGAATTTTACAGACTCGATAATGAACTATAGTGCACAATGGTATTTTTCATGTCCGGCCTGTATCCAAATATAGTCATTTATTGTCAGACGCTATAAATGTTGGGTGCAAATAAAGTGCACATTAGTCCTGACCATTAGTTGGTTCAAGTTTAAACCTTATTTGTGTTACTTGAATGTCGTACTATTTCAAGCAGAGGGCTATTTTAGGCCCACCGAGACAAATTTGCTCCGTCATTGGAATACCTTCTTGGGGTCAGGCACGGCTGCACGTGCGTAAATATAAGCTTACAAACCTAGAATGTCTAGAATGATCGGATATCTTAAATACGTGATTATCCTCTCACTTAGGTACAACTTCATTACCCGCCTTAATCACTAAAGTTGCATCACTAAAAAAGTACCAACCCGACGCGTGTAGTTGGTCTTCCCAAGAGACTTCTGAAATCATGCGCTTACTAGCCGTAACTACGAACGCCACGCATGGATGTTGCGTACACGGCTGGGTCTTCTTTGTGCCACCTGGCCTTGAGAACCGGCTTTAGATTAGGGATCACGGTACGTGTAAGTAAATGGTGTATATGGTTCATGCCACTTCTGTTCATTTAGACGCAAAATCATCAGTACTTGAAGTCCTATTCATAGCCAACACTTTTCCAGACCGCCTCTTCCCTAAAAAGGGCAAGAAAAGGGCACCAGCCGCCTCGAGAGCCGCTTTCTACGTTATGCGTATCTCCAATACCATTACAAGTGCAGAACACTCCCTTATCTCTGGTTACGCGCGAGCGAGCGCAGCGAGCGAGCGAGTTCATACCTACTGAATTAAAGGTAGTGTGCCACATTCCAATGATTTCCCATTTTATTTTTCCTAGGATAAGAAGCTTCTGTTTTTACCTAATATCGCAAAAAAAATCAAAAATGGGCCTGGAATAGTGCCTTTTTTGCCTAAAAGTTTATCGGTTTTCGATATGTATAACAACTGTAGTGGGCTGACCTGCAAACAGGCGTCGGCAACAATCGCGAATACGGCGCACATGTGACAATAAGCAAAGGTCATTATAGAGTTACGACGTACGGGAATGAGTTATCAGCTGTCTAATCGTAGACAACACAATGTCAAACCTTAAACTGTAAGCCTGTATTGGTATTGTTTCTTTTATTTGGCTGTCGAACATTATTTATGGTTTGAATTATGATTTTATGTAAAATAATTTATATGAAAAAGCCGTCTCTTAAGTTATGACCCCATTTCACCACACGCAAGTGGCAGAAATGACAATGATCAGCTGACGCATTTTTCTTGGCCGAAGTCAGAGCGCGCGGCCCGACGCACCACCACCGCACCACAAAGTATGAGCAGAAGCCGTGCCCAAAGCCAGGGCCCCGGTAACGTGAGGTAGCCGAGTCGGGGCAGCGTGCGCTGACCCAAGCCGGGGCCGCGGCTTTGGGCGCGGTCTACCGCATCCCCGCGGGCAGCCCCGGGCTATCACATGACACCGGGAGGACGCGCGGCCCCGGCTTGGGTCAGCGCACGCTGCCCCGACTCGGCTACCTCACGTTACCGGGGCCCTGGCTTTGGGCGCGGTCTACCGCAACACCTAACAGGCGTGTTCGAAACCGCAGGAGATGATGATGAACGGGTTTATCGAAACTTGATTGGATGAGCCTATCGGTAATAGCGATTTCAGTGTGTGCATTTACTGTTCATAGTGGTGTGAAATGTGGTTGGGGTACGACCGACAACCCGTCGGGGCGAATTTTGCACTGAGGTACTCAAAATTTGAAGAATTTAAAGGTAGTGTGCCAGCTTTCCTGGACCGTATTGAGTTAATGGCCCAGATAAGGAGAACCGGATTTTTAGAACTTATCCATACCTTCAAAACTCATGGAAACGTCTTAAATTCTTCAAATTTTGAGTACCCCAGTGCGAAATTCGCCCCGACGGGTTGTCGGTCGTACCCCAACCACATTTCACACCACTATGAACAATAAATGCACACACTGAAATCACTATTACCGATATGCTCATCCAATCAAGTTTCGATAAACCCGTTCATCATCAGCTCCTGCGGTTTCGAACACGCCTGTTAGGTGGTGCGGTAGACCGCGCCCAAAGCCAGGGCCCCGGTAACGTGAGGTAGCCGAGTCAGGGCAGCGTGCGCTGACCCAAGCTGGAGCCGCGCGTCCTCCCGGTGTCTGTGATAGCCCGGGGCTGCCCGCGGGGATGCGGTAGACCGCGCCCAAAGCTGCGGCCCCGGCTTGGGTCAGCGCACGCTGCCCCGGCTTGGGTCAGCGCACGCTGCCCCGACTCGGCTACCTCACGTTACCGGGGCCCTGGCTTTGGGCGCGGCTTCTGCTCATACTTTGTGGTGCGGTGGTGGTGCGTCGGGCTGCGCGCTCTGACCGGCCAAGAAAAATGCGTCAGCTGATCATTGTCATTTCTGCCACTTGCGTGTGGTGAAATGGGGTCATAACTTATGAGACGGCTTTTTCATATCAATTATTTTACATAAAATCATATTTCAAACCATAAATAATGTTCGACAGCCAAATAAAAGAAACAATACCAATACAGGCTTACAGTTTAAGGCTCGACATTGTGTTGTCTACGATTAGACAGCTGATAACTCATTCCCGTACGTCGTATGGTCGTAACACTATAATGACCTTTGCTTATTGTCACATGTGCGCCGCATTCGCGATTGTTGCCGACGCCTGTTTGCAGGTGAGCCCACTACAGTTGTTATACATATCTAAAAACCGATAAACTTTTAGGCGAAAAAGGCACTATTGCAGGCCCATTTTTGATTTTTTTTTTTGTGATATTAGGTAAAAACAGAAGCTTCTTATCCTAGGAAAAATAAAATGGGAAATCTTTCAAAGGTGGCACACTACCTTTAAGACGTTTCCATGAGTTTTGAAGGTATAGATAAGTTCTAAAAATCCGGTTCTCCTTATCTGGGCCATTAACTCCATACGGCCCAGGAAAGCTGGCACACTACCTTTAAGGGAAAATCCTGAGTATGAGCGGCCGGCCGGCCGGCCGTGGGGACGCTCTTCAAAAGCTAATATCTTAGGAACGGGACATCCGATTGACAAGCGGTCTTCTTTACTGAATGTCACTTGGACGTAAAAGTTCTGCGGTGTGATGGCCACCATGCGTTCTTGCCAACCACCGCACGTGGCGCGTGGTAAAGTTGGACATTTTTTAAGAACCCCTAAAATTACAACCTCAATAACGGCACAACGGTTGGGCCGATTGAATTGAAACTCGGTACACAGTTAGGTCTCCATCAGATAATTCATCTGTATGTGTTAAGGTTGGGGTGCACTACAGCACGTGCGCACGTGCAGAGGGCTCTCCCAGATCTCGAGAACGGCTGGGCCGATTGCGCTCAAATTTGGTACACGGTTGGGGACCAGTTAGTAGGGTGCCGTGCAAAAGTCAGTTTGGAACCCGCTTGCACGTGCGCACGTGCAGAATGCCGCTTCCAGATCTCAGGAACGGCTGGGCCGATTGCTCTCAAATTTGGCACACCGCTAGCGACCGGTTAGGAGGGTGCTTTGCACAAGCCCGTTGGAAGTACCCTCTCGCCCTTGCGCACGTGCAGGGCTCACTATCTCGCTCGCTCGTTCTTCTCGCAGTAAAACGCCCCAAAGGCGTTTTACTGGTTATAAGTTGTTATCCCATTCTTTATCAATAATGGGTTTTTCGTCTTTTTTATCAATAATGGCTGTTTTCACGACGGCCATCTGGTACACATTTTACAGCAAACAAGCGCAGTTTCCTCTACCGTGCGGTGAAGGCTCTGAATGCTACGATGTAGCTGGAGGTCACCTAGATTGGGTGCGATTTTATAGCAACGGCCGTTTTTTACTGTCTCATTTATCGCCTTTTATCACACGAAGTGTATTGTATTGATGTGTTTTAACCATCACTTTTGTACTGACGTAGACGCTATATAATCCATGTCATGGAAGGTCTTAATACATTATCTATCTATCTATCTATCTATCTATCTATCTATCTATCTATCTATCTATCTATCTATCTATCTATCTATCTATCTATCTATCTATCTATCTATCTATCTATCTATCTATCTATCTATCTATCTATCTATCTATCTATCTATCTATCTATCTATCTATCTATCTATCTATCTATCTATCTATCTATCTATCTATCTATCTATCTATCTATCTATCTAT